GGAGACATTCATTACTATTCTAATATTCCAATTATATGATTCTAATCTTCTTTGTATACTTGACATTGATGCTTTCAACTTTGCTATCAGCGAGATCCTTCAAGAAGATTTTGGTAGGGACCTTCAATCTATGGCATATAGATCACACAATCTTAGAATAATAGAATGCAATTACTTTGTATGTGATTGAGAGCAATTAGCAATTGTACATACCACAAAAGTGTGGCAACACTACCTGTTGAAAAAGCCAGTGACTGTTTGGATTAACTATTGGCCTTTGATCTATGATTTGCATTTAAAAAATTTAAAATTATAATAGTATTATTGAAAAGATCAATTATAGCTCTTTGATATTGAGCTTAAATACAAGCAAGGCAACAATACACCATATTAGACACTTTTATATGCAATGGTATTCAATTAGTGAAAAAAAAGACTATATAGTTTGATGATTGGCTATTGGAATTAGGACCATATTTTACTACTTCCAAATTATAAAAGATATAAAGTTTTATTTACTCATATTGCAATTGTTTTGCCTTTAGTTTTGAAGATCTTAAAGATTATAGATGCAAACTTATTCATATCTAATTAAAAGATGATCATCCAATCTTTTAACAATCTTACAAGTTTAGTGTCTTGAAAAAAATTGATATCTAATGTTATTATTAAGAGTTATTGGTTGCAAGCTTGATTGAGCTTTTTAATGGCAAGTATGGTTGTCATGCAGTTATGCCTTAAAAAAAAGATGTTTTAAGTAATTGGATAAAAAAATGGATGTATAAAAAACTACCATCTAGTTAAATATAAGACTAAGTTTGATTGGTATCTAATGCCAATACTTGAAGAATTATTTGATGCAATAGGATTTTCCTAAGTATTCAACACTTTAGATTTAAGATTTAATTATCACTAATTACCATTATTTATTGAAAATTGAGTAAAGATAATATTTTAGAAAATTAATCAAGATGACATGGATCAATTCTAATATTAAATTTTTTTCTATTTGGCATAAAAAATACACCAATTGAATTTCAAAAGGTAATGGACTAGGTGCTATTTGGCTGGTCATTTATTAGATGCTACATTGATGATATTATCATTTTTAGTAATACCTTACAAAATCATGTGAGGCATTTACAAATAATATTTGAAAAATTAAAGCAATAAAAGTTATGCTTATATCATAAAAAGTATCAATTCTTCTACAAATAGTTAGTATATGTAGATCACATAATTATCCTAGGAGGTCTTAGCATATAACAAACAAAGGTAAATGCCTTGCAAAAAATTCCAGCACCAAGCAATATTTCACAATTTAAGGATTTTTTTAGATTGACAAATTACTAGCAAAGATCTCTTAAGAATTTTAGGTTAATTACCAATAGTTTAACTATTTGGATTAGTAAAAATCAACTATAGACTTGGAATTATGAGCAATAACTTGTATTTGATACTTCAAAATAAAAATTAAGTTTAGTTCTAAAGCTTTGACATCCGGATGATATTAGATCTTTTGAACTATATATAGATTGAAATGCAATAATATTTGAGATAATATTGATACAAAAAGATGATATAAGATGGAAATATATCATTCTATTTGCTTCTAAAAGCAACTACAATGTAAAGTTTAATTATTCATCTTATGAAAGAGAAGCTTTAACAATAATTTGAGCTATTGCTTATTTTCAACCTTATTGGTATGGTCAATGATTTATATTGATAACTAGCGATCAATCTTTGAAGTGACTTATGAAATCAAACAAATTTACTAGCAAGCTTACTGGATGAACTTTGTTACTTCAAAAATATGACTTTGAGGTTATGTATTAAACATGAATTATCAATCTGGATACAAAAAAGCTTTCTTGAAATTCAAGTCCTTTCAAAGATGACCTAATTAGAGCTTGATGGCATAGAGATTGCAATAGAAAGGTAATCCGTGATTAGCATGTAGCTACATACTTGATTTTAATATCAAGTACTATAACCATGGTTTTTGATCAAAATTTAGATAAAAAATTAGATAAAAACAAAGTGATTATTAAAATATAGAAGGATCTTACAATCTTGTACAAGCTTCAATAATACATATTTTTTTAGCTATCTCTAATATAGAAAGAGTTATTACTAATCACCAAATAATATGGTTCTATTAAGAGAACAATTTGTTATTTTGTCTATGGTATGATGCAAGTAGATGTATAATTCTAAGGCTAGATCAAAGAGCTTCCTTGGTACAACAAGTATATAAAGAGCTTAGATATTTTGAAGTGTGCAAGTCACATTCCATGTTATGCAATGAATATATATATATATATATATATATATATAAGTGGTTATATATGTTTCTCAATGTGAAGTGTCTAATCAAGTCAAATCAAGCTTTAATACTTTATCACCTCAATTAAAGCATTTACTTATCATGGGTTTAGATTATTGTCAGTCTTTGGACTTTATTGGACTACTTATTGTAATGTCATGTAGAGTTAAATATGTGTAGGTTATGATAGAATATTTTGGTAAATAGATTGAACTTGTGGCTTTATTATAAAACTCTTCAAAATTGATAGCTATGGCTTTTCTTGATTATGTATTAGGATATTTTCAAGCATTGGTTGAAGTCTTAATAAATCAAAGAAGAAAGTTCTTTGAAATGTTTGAAGATTTATTAACTAAAAGCATTAATAAAGTATTGTACCACCTCAAGAAAATTACCTTAAAGTACATGGATTGTTTAGACTATCAAGCATAGTTTACGGAAGTATGATTTACTTTATAGAAACTATTATAATCAAAACTTAATGCTATCATGGATTGAGATAGATTATTGCTTTAATAGATAAGCATCTTTAGCATCTTATAATCTTTTTTAGTTATTGTATGGATGGAAGCTAATCCTACTAAGTTTAATATGTCAAAAGCTAGATCTAGTTATAAACTTAGATAATCCTAACATTTGGGCTCAATATCTACATGATTAAGTAGCGTTCTTTAAAAAAACCATTCTTATAACCATAAAAAATATATCTATTTCTTAACATTGTGATATCTTATAATATACTTGTATTTGTAGTAGAACTTATTCAACTTAGTTTTAGAGATTCTTTGAGGAAGATTATATGTATTTATAATGTGAAGTGCTTATAATATTTGATGTTAAATCAAGGTTCATAATTCTACTTATAAAAGATATATCATCTAATAGTATTTTATTATTAAAAAGAAATGATGGACAAGAGTGCCAAGAGCATTCAAAGAATTGTATTTTTTATCATCTTTCTATTGATGATTCTATATATTCTAAATTAAGAATTATACAAATTGGTCTTTCTTGTTTTATAAATGGTGAGAAGAAAGGTGCAACTACTATGCTTTTGTATGATCAATACTAATAAGGGTGGCATATGGTATGCTTGATATTATCTCTTTTGACTCTTCTTTTAAGTAATTAAATTTGTCCTTATTATAAGAAGTCTTCTATCTATGTTTCATTTATTAATAAAGATTGAAGGTTTATTCTTCTTTATTTGTCATACATTTTGGTGGTCTATTTGCTACAATATTGGCTTAAATTAGTATAATTCTATAACAATATCATTATAGCATTCATCTTTGATTCTATATATTTTGTTATTCTAACTGACTAGAGAGGCTCTTAATTAATTAGAAGAGGCACTTAAAAATGTATTAATTGTATATTTTTATTTGATTTAGATTTCATACTTTTTCATTGATTTATAGGACTCAATATATTATATATAACAATCTTTGTTTATACAAAAAGTTCTTTAGTTAGATAGAGAAGAATAAAGCCTTCATCATTCTTGTCAAGTATTTTTTTGCTTTAAGTCTAATTTTAAGAATAAAGCTTTTATATTTAATAAAAACCATCTCATTTTTTTTTGAATATACATATTTTTTCATTCCATTTATGTCATCTTTCATTAAAATACATCTTACATGTTTAATCATATTCTTCAAGTCTTTGTCTTTAATATCAAATTGCAACTAAAATTTCCAAGATAACTTACTTAAATTTTTACATAAAAATATATACATGTTTTTTAATCTTAAATTAATGTTATATATTATAAAAATTAAAAATTAAATATTTTTAATAAAATAATAAATAAGATATTTATTACATTTTGTTAAAAAATTTAACTTTAATTTGTAATATATTGAATAAAATAAAAGTAAAAAAAATATTAAAATGAATCATTCAATTACTAAATCAATCCATCCTATTATAACCATCATTAAAAAATGATTCATCTCTAGAAACCATTATTACAATTATAGCCTTTATTTCAATCCTCTTTATTTTTAGCCTACATTCTCTCTATTCCTAGTTTTTTTTTAATCTCAATCTTCGTTCTCCTCCCTCTATTCCTAGCTCTCATCTTGAACCCTCATTATTCTCCATAATATGAAGGATCAATTTAATAAATAAGTGGATTATTTTAATATATTATATATATATATATATATATATATATACATAAGATCTAAATTTATGAGGATTTTGATGTTTTATTAAAATATAAATTATTTAAAATATAAAATATAAATTATATTATAATATTTAAATCCTAAGAAATATTTTTAGATACATAATTTAGTAATTATTTGTATAGTTATAAGCTTGTATGAAATTACTTCATGAAATTACAAAGAGTGAAGATATCCAACTTAAAATGCATAAGTTTTTGTAAAAGAAAAATTAAATATAATAATAATACAATCAAACTAGTGGAGTTCTTCATTAGAAATGTTTAACTCCAAACCGTGAAATCAGACCAGGCAGGGCGTACAGGAAATCGTATATTTACACGAATACCATCATACAGATAAAGCTAAAGCAAGCGAATGAAAAGTCGCAGCAATAGGAAGCAATAAATCATTCATCCATTCATAGCTTCATCGAGTTATTCATCCAGAAGCCCGGCGGGGCAAATCACGGGTTAAGGAGCCCCCGGCGTGCCAGACCCTGTTTCCATGTGCAGAATGCGAAGCATCCTTATTGCTACGCTCAAGACCTGTTCCATCGCCATAGCCGAGCTCCAACACGGGAAGTCCAGCCTGCGTTCCTCCCGCGTGGAGTCGACGTTGATTTACGGACACGGGTCTTGCTCCTTTCCGGCTTCCTGATCCCTCGTTGCGTGATCCGATCCCTGGCATCGCTGCCCCTTTCCATCGATTCTCAGGCTCCTGCGAGGTCCCAGGTTTGTTCTTCGATCATGGGTAGTGGTGGTGGTGGTGGTGTGTCACTGAGGTGTGATTAGGATGTGTTGTATTGCTCGATGGAGATGTATTGATGTCCTGGTGCGTGGAGCTATGGTGTGGATTGGGATGGTGGCGTGGTTTAAGGATCTTCTTGGTGTTTGTGGGAACCCTAAACCTGCGTGTTGAGGTTGGATTCCGGGCGTTCGCGATGACGCGGGTGTTCGAATGTCGAGGTTGATCGAATTTGAACTGGTTTGGATGGTAGAGGGTTATGAGATCGGCGGCTTGGTTTGGTTTGTTTCGCTCTTGTTTTTTTTATTGTTGCCGTGAATTGCGAATGTATCTAATTTGAGAACTGAGTTTCTGGATTCTGCGGTTTGTCTGTTGGCATTGGAATGAGACATTGGAATGAGGACTGTGTGTCTGTCGTGCAGAGTTTGACCAAATTATCGTGTTTGTGCGAGGATGTGGATTTACACACACACACACACACACATATATATATATATATATATATATATATATATATATATATATATATGTTATTTCCTAACTAGTTATCTCATGGGTTGTCCGTAGTCATTGTTCCAGTGCTGGCGTAAAAGCTTCAGCTGTCATATTTGCAATCTCAGGTTTTGTTTGCGAAAGTGTATTTTGCTTATTCACTAAGCAATCAAACTCCGTAAGCTGTATTAATCTCGAGAGCTGTATAGCAAGACTTGGCACAATTGGTTGCTGATATACAATCATGACCTAATCTTCAGTTTGTGACAAGTATTTTGCATTTAGATCGGTGGATCTTGATCATTGACATTCAGTCTAAATCTTCAGTTTGTAAGTTACCAGGTTTACAACCTTAGTCTTACGGAAGGCTTCCTGATTCCATTGATTCTTTGTCGAAATTTGCAGCGGATTTTGAAAATTTAGCTCTCAGACAATGTTGCACGATGCTCTGATGGCTTCAAGGATTCCTTTATTTTGTTATGGCGTTAATTTTAGTAACGCCCATGACTGGGAGGACCTTAAATTTGGATTTGTAGCTACCAACACGCTATGAAATTCAGTAGCTCCAAGAATAATGTATGTTATTGTGGATCGCACCTACCTAATACCTTCGGTAATGGACTTCCCGGATCTGTGGTCAAATTGTTTTGGAATTCATGGAATGCTGTGTAAGGACATCGGAACAACAATCTTGACCACTATGTAATTTTGTGCACAGCCAATCTCATTCAAGTTCAGGTTGGAATGGAAAACTTGGCGATCGTGTGATTGAAAGCAGGAAGGGCGTGTTTCATTTGTAGACAATGGAAGGACCAAGTACGTAATTTCTGTTTGTTGTACACCTCATACCTGAATTTGTAATGTGTTTGCATCGGCAGACGATTTCAGGTCTAATATCCTTGGCCTTCTTGATATCACCTTCCCAATTAGAGCAAATGGTCACTTATGTCCGGTAGTGGTTTGAGAACTTTATTATTCTACGAGCTGAGCAGGATCTGACTGCGTTAATGCTCCAACGTGGAAATCTTGATTTTATTGCATTGAAGATGGTCAGTTAGTGATCGATATCCACGCTCGTTAAGGTTAAATAACCTGTAGGGGTTTAGCCCTTACAATACGTAAAATATTGGTTTGTCAAATTGCATATGAAGTCCCTCACGCTTTGTGTTTGTCCATTTTCCTTCCAGTGGTAGCAAGTAGGGACACAACGGTGCAAGTTTATCAATTCGAATCTGGTGACTATGTCATAGTTTCAAGCTTGTCAACAAGGAATGACACACAAATAGTGAGGATAGATCCCACTACTGGCGTTTTACAATATCAAGGTCGATATGGCTTGGATCTGTTTTCATCTGAGCGAGATGCAATTCAATATATAACTACTACGGGTACCGTGATCAAGAGTTTTCCTGCTAGAGCAATTATAGGGTATGCGGCTTTAGGAGGTGTTGGTTTACTGCTCATTGCTACAAGACTCAAACAATCTGTGCCAGCACTTCCATGCGGAGATACTGTTTTTACTGTTACGGAGTCTCAGTGCATAAGGATTCCTCTAAGAAATCCTCAATACCAATCTAAGAGTGAGTCCAAGAATGCAAATGATTTGGCTGAGATTCAGCTCGATAACCTCCACTACTTTTGCGAAACTCGAGATATTACACGCCCGTTTCCAAGCAAGTATTCCATCGGGACTCCTGACAGAGAGTTCGTATGGAATGAATGGCTTTCTTTTCCATTTAAGACCGTCGGCCTACCGAATCATTGTGTCACTCTTTTGCAGGTCTGCCTCCAGTTTACTTCTACATGGTTGCAGTTTATTTTCAAGAATAAGTGCTTACTTCGTGGAAATCCTTCTTTGAGGTTCATTTGTGCCTTACGAACTAGGTCTTTTATGTTTGTAGGTGTGAAAAGATTGAACACTATAATAGTTTAAATTAGCTACAGGGTCTAGGATGGATGGGTGGGGTTGGAAGCGAGGTTGTAACCTCCTAACTCTGGGATTTTTGCATATAGTCTATGAAGTAAGTATTCGGTTTGATTGTTTGGGCAGGGTTTTGCAGAATCAAGAGAATTTCATGATGGCAATGGTGTGAAAGTGTGTGTTGCAATTACGGCACGGCGGAGTAGGCTGCATCCTGGGACGCGCTACTTAGCTCGTGGTCTGAATGGGGCGTACAGTACTGGTGGGTTGCCTTTTTGTTGTCTCTCCGCTGTTTGATTAGAATATGATGTCTTTTTTGATGATACGTTACGCAATGGAGCATGTGTACTTGCTTTTCATGATTTGACGAAATTACATTCAATAAATATTGGATTCGTGTCTTCATTCAGACGGTGTGAGTAGCTTGTGAGCTGCTGGTAACCACAGGCGTTGAATTATGAATTACTGTTGAGGTCTCTTGCATAAGTTCATTACAATTTTTTTGTGATTGAAGAATGAGATATTTTTTGTCTGGAGTATGATTGTGCCCACTCTTGATTTCCCTTTTCTTTTTACAGGAAATGAAGTGGAATGTGAGCAGTTGGTGTGGCCCCTCAATCCATCACGAGATCGTCCTGTTCCTTTCAGTGTTTACCTGTGGCGTAGAGGAACTGTGCCCATATGGTGGGGGGCAGAGATCAGGTCTCAAGTAGCTGAAGCTGAGATATTTGTCGCAGAAAAAGACACGTACGTTGGGTCCGCTTTCTACTACAATAGATTGTTAACAAGGTATCGGAATCCTGAAGTCAAACATGGAGACGGTGGCGCTAATGGAAACAGGGATAAACCTCCCTTGGTATGTGTTAATTTACTACGAACTGGGTTTGGAAAGCCAGAAGTTGTTCTTGCAGATCACTTTGAAAATTCTATCAAGCACATAAAGTCTAGGAACGAGCTGCCAGATGCTAGCCTCACTATTCTCAATTACGATTGGCATGCAAATACCAAATTACTTGGAGAGCCTCGGACTGTGTATGGGTTGTGGCAACTTCTCAAGGATCCTACGATTGCCATTGGCTTTGGGCATGGAGAGTATGACCCCAAACCTAATGCTCCAGGCGTGGAATTTGTTAACAAAGGGGGTCGGGGTGGTGGTTTCCGAATATCTGCAAGACAGGAGGGTGTGATTCGATTTAATTGTGCAGATTCTTTGGACAGAACAAATGCTGCCAGCTTTTTTGGTGCAGTGCAAGTTCTTCCTGAGCAATGCCGTTGGTTAGGCTTATCTTTGGATACTGGGAAGAGTATTTCATCTTCGAGGAGTGGACTTGACCGAAGACCGTCAAGAGTGTCTCTTGGGCCACTTCCGCGTGGCTGGGAGAAGCGCTCCGACATTGTTACTGGCCAGGTGTTCTACATTGACCACAACACAAGGACCACCACGTGGAATCATCCCTGCCCGGATGAGCCATGGAAGAGATTTGACATGACTGTTGAGGAATTCCGTGATTCAACTATCTCACTGCCGATTGCTCAAATGGCTGATTTGTTTTTAATCGCTGGAGATATACATGCTATGCTCTACACAGGTAGAATTTCCATTCATCAAATATTACATTACTTGTTGTGACTTTTTATCAAGACCAATTTTTGGTTTTTGGTGTATGTAATCTAAGTTTGTCGTATTATTAACCATGATTTTTATTTTTTATTTTCATCTACTCTAATCATCCCTAACTCAGTTCCTCTTAGTCGCTTACTGAATTAAAGTACATGCTCCTATTAAGTGCTCACAGTACTCTGAAGTCAAGTCATTGTAAGACTCATCTTTTAGTTGTTTGGGAGAATCTTAAAATCCTTTGTTGCTGACTTTTGAAAATATATTTTGATAATATCTGCGCAGGCTCTAAAGCAATGCATAGCCACATCATTGAGATTTTTAGCGATGAAGCAAAGAGCAAGAAATCAACTGCACAGAATCTTGCTATTACACTTCAGCGAAGGTATCGAAATATGCTAGTGGACAGCACCCGTCAGAAACAGCTTGAAATGTTCCTTGGCCTTAGACACCATAAATATTTTCCTACACTTCCAGATCTGCCCCTGCAGGTTCTACATTTCTATCTCCTTGTCGAGTACCCTTGTCTGATGGTGCTTTGGGATGATTGAGTAGCTGACCTTTTCTGAAAGGTTTGAGTTCGAGTTATTTGTTATTTGTGATTCTTCCCTATCAATTGCTTTCGATTATGTTTTGGATTTCAACGAGATCTCATTTTATTAAGAAGTCCATGCTGTCTCACTGGAGTTACCAAGGTCCAGAGATGTTAAGTTTTGTGTACAACGTAATATTTGACTTAGAGTGCTTGGGATTTCTTAGCAGAGCTCGCATGTATCGTTAATTGCAGGTTTTGACGCGCTCATTCGCTTGTCTTCTGAAGCCTGTACCAACCATGTTTCCACCTTACTACTCCGCAAATGCCCTGATCAACAGAAAACACAAGGACACAATATGGGTAATTATGTTCTTTTTCTTTTAACCAAATCGACCATGGGAACTTGCAGCTACTTTTGGAAGCGGTATAATGTTCTACTTGAGGGAGGTTTATCTGAGAACTATTGAAGAGCACGTTACGATGCGCATGTTTCATAGGGAGGTCGCTGGGTGGAAAAGTAGTAGTAAAGTCAGTGGTCACTGTCTCTTTTCGTTGGTTTACATTAGTGGTCTGCAATCTGCGAAGATGACCTTGCTTTAAAGTTCTCATTTTTAGATGTCATTAATTTATACATAAATTCATATGAGTTCTTATGCTTCTCTGGTGGATCTTGAGAGCAGGCTTGTCCTACATCAGTGAGTGTCGTGGAGGTCATGTGCGTATTGGCAGAGCCAAGCCATGTTTGCCAAGTCCTCCTGACAATTGCTCATGGCACAGAGGATATTACATCCCCAGTGTCCTTTGACTTGCGCGTAGGCCGAACACTTGATAATCTTCATCTGGTGATCGAGGTCCTCTTCCTCACATTTCGACATTGTGCTTTGGAAGGATTATTTTGGCTAGACATCGTATGCTTGGTTAGACATTTACATTTGGGATGGCCTTCTGGTTTACTTTGCTTTAAAGTTCTCATTTTTAGATGTCATTAATTTCATAAAACTATTTTTTTATGAAAGAGTAATGGAAGCGCTTTCGGTGAATTGTAGGGGGCTAACATTCCTCGGTGCCAGCATAAGACGCAATTGGTATATCCAGTGCCTGGGGCCATACATCATGAGGATATAGCAGTGACAGGAGCAGGAGGAAGTGAGAAAGCTGTGAGTTGGTTGTATGATTTCGAGGAGCAAGAAGGAGAAATTGATTTCCTAACTAGAGTGGTGGTGTTTACTTTCTATGCTGGCTCCTCAGGAGTACCCATCACCATCGGCGAGGTACTTTTCTGCGCTGTGCGTGTTTTTTTGGTAACCTTCATTCTAGCGGAGTCAACTTTTTATGAGGTTCTGATATTTATCTTCCACAAGGAATTTGATTCTAGTGTGTTTCACTGGAGACGCTTATGGTTTAGAAGTTGCCCTCATAAAGTTTGTGCGTATTTAAACTACTTAAAATGCATGGTAGGTTGGGGTTTAATATTGTGGACATGCCCATGTCGTTGATGTTTTTTGGTTTGCAGCTGGAAGTACTTGGTCGTTCGCTGTTTTGGGATAATATACGCAAGAAAATTGAATTTGAACCGAAATCGGACTCTCTACCTGACACAGTGGTCCAACATCTGAACCTTGCAACCTCATCTCACGGTCAACAAATGGTGGCTAGCCAGACCACACCAGCAACTACAAGTCAGAGTTTTGATCTTTTGAGTGGCTGGGAGGAACCAGAAGTTTTGCCGACTGCTTCTAAACACTCTAATCCTTTTCTTGATGACGATGACTTGGTTCAAACAGCAACCAACCCCTTTCTGTCATGGGACCCATTTGCTCCTTCAACAAGCGAGAGTACAATTAATGCCCTCGATGGAGAGTCTCACAATGAGAACAGCCAAATAAATGTACCTCAGTCGAAGGCCAAATATGATTCTGCTGCAGCGGAGTATATTGAAATCGTAAAAAGCTTCTTCAAGTCGGATCCTGTATGTCATTCTGAAACTTCCTTTCTAGACATTCGCTATTTTCATTTCAGTGTATGGACAATTTGATTGGATTGCCAGGTCACCTTACAAGTACATGCGAACATTTAAATTTCATGTCTGTCAATTCATACCATTAACCTAGGATCGTAACTTGAAGCACCCATATCAATAATCGACAGCTCTAATTCTTGATTTATTTTCGTGTTTGATGACGCAAGTAATAGTTCTTAATAACATGCCTTTCTGGAATGTTGACTTTTACCTGTGTGATACAGTCAAAAACCTTAACGTACGATGAAGCCATGGAGCTTGAAATTGAACGGCTCAAATTGGGGCTATCTGCGGCTCAGAGAGATCATACTCTTATCAAATTAATAGGCCGTGATCCAGCATCGATCGATCCTAATAAGTTGTTGAATCCCAATTATCTTTTCCAGGTGCTTCCATGTGCTATCTTCTACATAACTCTTTTAGCGGTTCGATTATCTGAATTTTCAATGTGAAATTTCTGGCGTCATATGTCTCACCAGATTTTATAGAATTAGGATCATCACTTTTGTGAAGTACTTGGAAGCAATTTTAGTACACCCAAGTGCTGTTTTTGTCAACGCCAATTTGTTTGACATGTTCATTCGTTCTGAACTGCTACAGGTTAGGCATGCGGCGTTTCAGTTAGCTTTAGTCTCTCAAGCAGTGGCCGAGGACGAAGAGAATGCAGCAGTTGGTCAAGATTTAGCAGATTCTGGCATTATTAATAGATCTGACGACGATGTTGTACAACTCGATTGCACTAATCCTGCCTGTGGTGTCCGTTACATTCCTCTAACTAAGAGTAGCGTGCAAAAAGCAAGAACATTACCTGATAAGAATACAGAGTTATATCAATGTTCTGCTTGTAATCAACCAGCCTGCGTTGCATGTATTACACGCCAAAGTGTTAGGAGTAACTCTGGCATTCCCAAAAAGGAGGCAATCGTATTGTGTAAAAGGTACGCCCGTACCTCATGACACATGCTTGGTTCCCTAGCATATGACATCATAGTATATCCCATAAGTACTAATACAATGACCTGTTAAATCCGATGAATATCTCACACTTTCTAGAAAGTTATTTATTTACATAATCATAAGATTGAATACATGTCTAGAAACTCCCTTTTCCATTGTTCTTTGATCGTCACTGTATAATTTGCTTGTAAGGGTCTGTCAACGTCAAGTAAGGTATTTCATTTTAGCTTTAGGATGTACTCCACAGTCATGATCCTTATTTGCCTATTATTTGTGCATGTTTTCTGCTGTTAGTTGCAATGTTGATCCCATAGTAATTAGGACAGAAACATTGCGTTGTTTGTTGATAAAGAGAATTTCTGTTGAACAGGTGTGAACCTTCACTTGCTGCCAATGCAACATTATTGGACAGAGTCAAGATCCTGACTTCTCGGAGGAGAAAAGCAAGGGTTCAGTCCGCAGCTCGTGAAACTTTGAAAGACCTTGCGAACTTGGGCTTTGGTGTTACGGCTGCAACCTCTAAAATACAGAAGGATATTAGTTCAGTATTACGGGGGCAGATGTCTCTTGCAGAATATCCCTACGCAACCTTGGTTACCTCTGTAAGTGCCCAATCATGTTGGTACAAGGGATGAACTCTGAGCGAATTCGCGGGCCTTTGTGGAGAAGATGCTATTTTGGCTACCTCAGATTAGAAGCACATTTTTTCGCTCTTTTGCGTTTTCAATTTGTCATATCTTTTTCTACTCTCATTGGCCAAGGGTCATATTTTTACTGCATTTAAATGTCTGCAGAAATATGATTTTTCTAAGCTGTAGTCTTCTTCACCAAATATCTTCCTAGATGGACGTATGATTAGGTTGGTACTGACGTTGTGCAGGTGAGTACAGCTGAAGGTTCAGAACCTGCACAGTCTCTATTAGCCCCATGGAACAGTGGAACTTCCAAGTCGTTCTGGCGAGCACCAATAGGAGCACCTACTGTGGAGTTCTGTGTACTACTGGCTGCTCCTTCAGTTGTTAACACCATTGTGATACTAGTCAGTTCGTGTGGCTATACTAGCCAGGATGTTCCACTTGTACGTATGCTGACCATCTTACTGATGACTACTTTTAAGCTTCTTCTTCCTCTTTTGCTGCTTCATTTTTATTTTTATTTTTATTTTTTATTTTTTTTTGACTAGGATAATACAGGTTTAATGTATCCGTTGGAGTTAATATTTTGAAACTTCAAGTTGAAGGTTGATATTTGCGATTCTCTTATGCAATATTCATTTATAGGCTGTTACAAGTAAGGTGACTAATCATTCAAAACTTCAGGTGGACATCTGGTATGGGAACATGATGGTCGAGAGCGAACGGAAGTATTTGGGTCGTTGGGATATCGCCCAAGCAGCTGAGAAGGAGGGTGCAAAACATATATACGGTCCTAACGATTCTACCACTCCTTGTCAGATTCGTTATCAATTAGCTTCTCCTGTGAAGTGTCGTTTAATATGGCTGAAGTTCAGCCTGAAGCCCTCATCACAAACAGTGCCAGACCTTTTCAGTTTTGATGAGAGACCAAATATTTCTCATGGTGGGCTTCCTGTCCTCCACGCCAAAAGGATTCTGGTCTTAGGAAAGCAATTTCTTGAAGAAAGTTTTAGCTTGGATGCATCCATGGACAGGATGTCACTGAAGACCATGCTAGATGCTCCAGCACGAATGAGCCGATTGAGAGTGAGTTATATTCACCCTCTTACAGTTTGCTGGTTTGACATTTTTGCCAGAAGGGAAAGGTCATCTCGTAATGTGAACTCAAGTTTTGCTTGCGTCCTTAATATTTGGGGTTGGCATTCGTTTGATTAGCCATGAGAAATTATTGTTTTAGAGTGAACATTTGAATTCTTCAATTTTGGGCTTTTGCGCTTCCTGTAAACGCTGTTTGGCAGGAAGTTACACTGGAATTCGACAGCAGTTGCAAATCTGTATTGAAAGAAAATAAAAGTTACCTTTTGCGAAAAACACTGTTAAAGTGGAACGCTGGATATTCAAATCCCCCTTTAGAATTAAGATGTGACCATTGTGAAAAGTGAAATCGTAGCCTACGTGTACAAACCTTTGCTTCTAATATAATTCTGCGAATCACATGTCGGATAATGGCTTATTGGAAGAACCGCATGGTTGAGCTTTCCAACAAGCTAAGGTGTACAATATGTTTTTACGTTTTAATATGAAGCTATGAAACCAGCTTATGAACTGATGACTGAGGAAAAAAACAGGTTATATCTTGTTAGAGGTGCATTTTCGACTGGTTTTCAACAAGCTTTACGTTAAACATTTCGCATAAATACTGCAATGATGACTGCCCAATTTTGAAAATTAAATAGTGGAATAAAGCTGTTTTCCTTGATTTGCAGGTGCAAACTGAGATGGAGCGTTCTCTTGCTGGAGGAAGGATTGTAGAGCAAGTAGTCACTCCCCTGACACCAAGTGTTGCTGGGTTCCGTTTTGATTCTCCTTCGGCTATTCGATATGCAGCGAAGTACACTGTGTCTGCCCTCAATGACGCGCACTCTACAGATGATGCTCTCCCCTGCTATTTAGACGAGTCGCATATTAGTCCTGCCACACTCCGCATACGCGTCAGTGCTTTGCAAGTAAGCCCGTCCTTATACCATCTGCTTTTGTATGCGTACGATTGTATATGACATTCTATTGCTTCTTTTGCACTGGGCGGTCTTTCGTGTGGACAATCTGTATTCAGGTGGCAAACATATTATATAAGAATCATAGATATCTAGTACTTAACTCGTATGGATCTGTAGCTTTTACTTCTCAACCTACGTTCGGATAACAGTACTGCTACCTGTGCATATTTAGGGGTGATTCATGTGTAGATTCACATCTATTTTTTTGAAATCAAGCCATCCGTCAAGAGTGGTTTCGCTAATGAGAAGACAATCCGTATTGAATCAACTTACATTCTCTTTTTGTTTTGTGCTTGCTCAGGATATGAATACGCAACCAATGCCTGTTGGAGAATATATGTTACCAATTGCTAAACCTGGAACTCCTCTCTATTTCGACTTTCAAGTTCCAGTAGCAGTCCGAGCTCTCACCTTTGAGCTTATTGGTGATATATCTGCGTTCCATGATGAAGGGTTCGAATATACTGATTCAGATTCGAGAGATTCTGCATTAGCTAGCAGCTTGTCCCTTGTTAACCGAGTTCGCATTTATCGCTACGTGCCAACTGTAGAACTTGGCACGTGGCCTGTGTTGAACGCGGTATAAACCATATCTCTGCAGGGCGTTGAATGTTTTAGTTATTCATTATTTTGAAGAGATCTAATAGAAACGATAGGAGGGGGGGGGGGGGGGTACTTTATGTGATTTTATTGATTTATAGTCTATGTATGCCAAATTGATCATTTGGAAAGGTGGATGCTTCATTATAGAATATTGGTGTAGGATACTTCCAAATATTAACCTTCATGGAGGAGATTTGAACAAAGTTAAATGAAATGGAAGCTTTGCTAGTAGCGTAGGCGGTAGAATAGAAGTGCTCGATTGAACTTATTTTACAGTAAGCTCTTTTATAAGGCGTAAGGTTACCTTAATATTTCCTCCTCATTGGGCTCTGTTAATAAGGGCTAAGTTGCATATTGTGCATGTCATCTGCGCAGTGCCCAGCCAGATGCTGCTGATTCCCATCCCAAACAGTATTGCAGCCGTTACATTTTCTCGTCGTCATATAAGTGTGGTGTCTGCAGCTTATGCAAAGAAAACTTAATTAGCATAAACTTTTCTCACCTTCGTGAGAAAAGTCCACACGTGGCTTCCCTGTCATTTAGTAGGTACACTCAAAAACTTCAATCCTAACTCAATAATAATCTAGTAATTCTACAGAATCTTGTAATTGTTTCTTGGCATATGCTGCAGACACCACATGTATGATGGTGTCTGATGCCAAAGACTTTTGTTGAGTTCAAAGCCAAGATATTGACACAAACCCTTGCCTGCATCACCTAAGTATGAAAAAAAAAAGTTATTCAATATCACAAATATTTATTAAAACTGCATATTGTAAAGTAATCTTGAACCTTTACAATTTTAACTTGATTTTTTTTACCATTCGCTAACTTATTAGATATTTGTTCTTCACTGTTTATTATTAAAACACTTCAAGTAATATTTCTTACATCTATGTATTTGTTTTATGACCTAATGATAAAGAAGTTTCAAATGAAGTAGTGTGCAATGCTTACCTCTATAACATAAAAGTAATGATATAGAATTTTTTTGGAATCTTTTCTTATTCGTGTTCATTTTAATATGAAATAATTTTTTATTACTATTTTAATTCCATAACAATGTTCACTAATAATATATTTTTTATTCAAAGATGAAACTTCTTAATCTGTTAGAATCTAAACTATTTATTTTATATTCTAAATTATATCTTCTTAGCAATACAAGTTAATATATTTTTAATCTAATTACTAATTATATTAGTAATGTTTAGTAGCACGTATTAAATAGCTATCATCAATTTAGCAATGACTTTAATTTTTCAAGAGTAATATTAAATCTTGTTTGCACATTTTATAAAGTTATAATAATGCCTTCATTTTACTTTATCAAGTCTGCTTTTAAGTATTTTTTTTATTATATTTACTCTATCCTAAATTATTGTATTTAATTTATAACTTTTAAATCTTAGATTTGTATTTTTAAATCATTGATATATGCATAAAATTAAACAAAATACCATACCACATGTTTAACATGCCTTTAGCATTGAATCTTACTCATTTTATAATATGTATAGATGTGTTGTTTTTAAATAATTATTTTATATATTGTTCCTTGATTTTTAAATATTTCTAGATTTATTAAATAAAACATTTGAAATAAATTTAAAAATTATTTAAAGATTTCTTATTGAATTAAAGTATTTAAGTGTTATTCTTTAATTTTAATTTTGTTCCATTTTTCTTGAAGATTAAGACCAATCACCTATATCTTAGATTAAATCTAATCCTGTTTTTATATAAATATAATTTATGAAACTTGTGGATTTGCCATTTTCATTTTTAGCTTCATTTCAGTAATTTGACAAGAAAAATATGAAATTGTAAAGTTTTGGGATTCTTTGCCTTCATTATGCTTCCATGTCCTCCACTACTTTTAGGACACTCAACTTTAAACATATGCTTTTAAAATAAAGAAATCTTTGGCATTTCAGGATTAAAATAATTCAAGCTATTTAATTTTTCTCTCTTTACCTACTAAGCATTCCAAACCTTAATTATCACTTTCAAGTATCCATCCTGTAGCTTGGCATCAAAACACTTCCTTAATGAGACATATGCATTTGTTACAATACAAAATAAAAATACGATTATATATGTATTATTTCATAGAAAATCAACTTTCGGTATATTAGTTTTTCAAATGTAGTTCTATTTCTTCTTTTTATGTTTAAAAGAACAAAAAGAAGTCCACCAATAGCCCTTACCATGCATGTGGGGAATATCGGAGATACCAAATCTGATGGTAGAAGTTTCATGGTTTCTTTGATTGAACTCAACTGCACAACAGTAACCTCTATTTATAGACGATTCCTGAAATCGAACATGATTGTTATCTTGTACAAAGGATCCTCACAAAAACATTATAGAAACGCAAAATATTATAAGCCACTGAAAAGAAGCAAAAATCATGCAAGGCCTGCATCCTGTAAGACCTTCTCGATATCGTCGATATTATTCCAAGCCACCTGAAACCAAGGACATTAAAACAACGAGTTAAAAACATCTGCAGTTATTACATTTCTGTACCTTACGGCTGCAAACTACGGGATCTTCGCCTAATAAGCACCAGCAACAGATTAAGTTATTATCACAAACAATACAGTACTGTAAATTATACTAACTAAGATACAGTTGGCAAGATATGTGCGTCTGTCACACGTATCTCAAGCTTAAACAAGAAAACTGCACATACAGTTATAAAGACGGCATTACAATCCACATGATCACGCCTACTACCTCAGGGATGATCCTATTGAAGTGTTGCTCAATCTTTCGCAAGTTTCTCTTGTCCTCTTCAGTCACTAGCAGATTAAAAGCAGCGCCTATTAAGATACAGATATATCTTATCGTCAGATAATTATAAACGAAGATGCTCAACTTTTACCGGTTCATGCACCAATAATATAAGAGAGGATTAAAAGCATCTCTTGAAAGAAGACTGCAAAGAAAAAGAAAAAAATGCTACATGCAAATCTCAGTCACTTCACAATGCACGCTGTGTAACCTTCCAACCCGAAACCACTCAAAATGTCCCAGGGCAGGGAGTCTGCGTCCATTATACTGCTGCCTAGCAAGCCAAAAATGCAAATGTTTTACCTTTGCGTCCAAACCTTCCACTTCGACCAATCCGGTGCAGATATGTTTCATAGTCAGGTTCAGCATAAGCGTGTCTGCTCGTAGTATTTTTTACAGGAAAATCATAATTAACAACCAAAGTGACCTGAAAAAAAATAGTGGAGTTAGCATTTAATACAGAAAAAAATATCAAGTGCAACAAATGATCGCCTGAATGACGAAGAGGACTTTTTAAGTGATAGTATGAGTCTACAAATCTAGTGACGCAAAAAGATAAATTGAGAAAGAGGTGTAATACAAGGAAAAATCAAGTTACACAGCAACGCAGCAGATGTTTACAGAAACTCCTAGCACAACACGCGTAAACATAACAGAACACAAAGTCCACCAGCATACAACAATTCCAACGATATAAACTTACAGAACGTAACATACCTGGGCCTGATCGAAGCCACGTGCAAGAACATCCGTGGCAATGAGGATCTTTGTTTCTCCTGCTCGAAATTCCTTGATCACACGATCACGCTCTTCGTGGGTGAGTCCACCCTGTATACTTGTGCACTTGAAACCATCTTCTTCCAAGCTTTTGTGAAGTTCACTAGCGGCTCCACGTGTACGGACGAATATAATTGATTGGCCTAGTTTCTCTGCAGCTGGAAAGATGCGATCCTTGAGTACATCGATCTTTGAGGCAGTAGTTGGACATACGATTTGGTACTGCCGGATTACATCGAGTGAAAGCTGCTCCTTCTCTACAAAAATATAATTGGCCTTCGGAATCGTCTTCATTGCGAAGGACTTTACTTTATCACTGAAAGTTGCAGAGAACAAGAGTACCTGCAAAAATGAACACACTAATGATCGCAAACAGTTCCAAGTGACCACGAATGGTTACGGAAAGCGGCACCTGCATTCGCTGAAATTAAGACAGAATTTGCCATTGAAAGGGTATCATAATCTTACTTGACAATTTCCTCCACTTCTATTGATGTCTCTCCATAGTCTAAGTGAATCATCTTGAAATCCATCCTGCACACAAAACCTTACTCAAAACTCTTGCCCAAAATAACATGGCGCTGAAAAATTAGCAATACAGCGAAAGTCTGAAACCTACAAATTCGAGAACACAATCCGGTTGCTTCGCATCGGAACAAAACGATAAATAAATAAATAAATAAATAATAGTAGCAATTGATGGAAGAAAATGTAGCTACTCCCGAGCCCTAAACCAGGAGACCTAGAAGTGATGTACAAAAGGTCAGTGCTCACCTGATCGAGCATTTGATCGGCTTCATCAAAAACCAGAACTTTGACATGTCTTGTGTCAAGAGCTTTATCCTTCGTCATCCAGCGCTTCAAAGTACCTGGAGTGCCGATGACAATCTGATCAACGATTTTTTCACGCCTTGTCGAATGTAAGTGGCTGTTTGTTTCAGCAGTCGCTGTACATGCCGTTGTTATTCCTGTGAACTTCCCCATACGAGCTACCACCACCTCATTCTGTCCTCACATACAAATAAACCCTGAGTCTTCCAAATTTACTGGCGCGAATGACCTTATGCAATCTTCCTCGCATGCTGCATTTTGAATTGCAGGATCCAAGATTGTAAGGTGACCCTAAATACGATCTTCCTACAATGAAGAACGCAACAGGATTTACAAACTACGAAAAACTGGAATACTAGAGATTTAGCCACTAAAACTGCATAAAAATCAAGATACCGAAATATATTACGAAAATGGCACGTTTTCACTGAAAGGCTCGAAACAAAAATTCGATACCTGAATAACAAGCTCTCGAGTGGGGCACACACACAGAGCTTGAGGAGATTTCAGCTTGGGATCAACCCGACTCAGCATACCGAGAACGAAACAAGTTGTCTTTCCTGAACCATTGTGAGCTTGTGCAATCAGGTTCTGGTAAGGGGGCGAAACGATCATGGGCAGCGTTGCAGCCTGAATCTTGCTAGGTTTTTCGAATTTCATTTCCGAATACAACCCCTGTAGGAGCTCTGGCGACAGATTTAAGTCTTCGAAACTCTTCGCAGATGTATACGGAGTGTCATCTGCAACAACCTGCACGAGTATCGCGCGAGTGACCCAGATTATATAATCTAAGCATTAGTTGGAAAAAGGATTGATGCCAATAAACAATACCACTACTCAAAACGTTCTTCCACAAAGTCAGAAAAAATTAGCCTATCAATTTACCACACCTTCTTGATCTCCTCTGGCTCCACAATTGACTCACTCTTGATGCGCTCCGGCTGGTCGACGATATCCTCCGCGCTCTCAGGTTCTACGACTTTGAGGCCGCTGATATCGACTTCCCCAAAATCCTCGTCACTCCATAGCTTCTTTGCTGGTGCAGCCTCCTTGGTCTCAGGTTTAGTCTCGGACGCAGAGTTCTGATCCGCCATCACAATCGAAACCCTAGCTTCCTATCTATTGCTTCTCGGATCAGTTGGAAAAAGCAAGCGTTGTTGAGAAGACGCTCTCAGTGAAGAGAATCAGCTTGGGCTATTTGGTCTTCGTGTGTTAGTTTCTACTTTCGGATGCCGTCAGAGTTCACACGTGTCCCAGGCGGATTTAGGCGGATTGGAACGCAGTCGGAGCCCTGACGATTACAACTACTCTTTCAGCTCACGCATGAGTTTTTTTGAACAGTAAGCTGTTCCCCAGGAGAGCTTTGAACTCGTCAATTTTGAATGAAACCTCAATTACAGACCTTTAATTCTTATTTTGAAAACAGTTTCAGTAACTTGATGTACAGTAACAATCTATTTTGTAAGAATCACTCCCGAATGAAATTGGTATCACAAGTTGTAGCTTGAGAGAAACAGCTACCCTTTCCGTGAATTCGTCGTATTAACCTCACACAACACTAACTTATTAGGAAATGCAAATAACTTGATTGTTTACACGTCTTTCTTGCAATTTTCTATTAGAATAATTCAAAAATGTTTTTAACAAGAGGAATGTAAATAAGGATTCCAGACAAATTGTGAATGCATTAAGTGCAATCAGTGCGAAAGCTGGAGCTGAAACTTTAATTCTTCTCTTGATTGAAACGATTGTCGGAGTTCAGATTTTGATAATCTGAATTTCAGCACCAAAACCAACGATGCTACAGTAGTGATTCATGGGTTCACCTTAAATTTAAGAATTGGCACGGTGCGGTGGGGCCACAGGTGTTATTATCGTAGAAACAGTCAGTTCTCACGTCCTTCTTCGATGAAATTTTGATTAGGGTTTCAATGTAATTCCATGAAGAGCAATTGGGGTGTGAAGCGAAAAGCAATTCAGAAAATGTGTAACAAGAATTGAAGGATGAGGACGTGTTTCTCAAACCCCGCACTCGATTTGTGATATTTGATTAATTCACAGGAGAGCCAAGTTGAAAGAAATTATTACTTGAGAAACAATCAGCTGCGGAAACACCCGACTAAAACTGACATTGAGGTTTCTTTTTAGTTCTTCGGCAAATGCAATCACGCAAATAAAAGAATTCAGAGAAGATGTCGAAAATAAAGGACTTATACTGTGTAAATAAAGTACAATGAATCGAAATGTCTAAGCGAAACCTACTACACTCCCTCATAGAGCATTCAATAAGACCTAACCATCCTTCGGCTTCTTCAAAACTGCTGGCACAGCAGCACTTCTAAGGAACCCAATAAGGTGCAAAACCTCCAGATTCTCTATCTATTTTTACCACCCCTCATTAACACTCAGAAGTTAACGCATCTGGGAAGTAGAGCACAGTAGGCCTGAGGCATCAGCCCCAACCAGAGCAAGATCGCAAACAGGGCACAGCTTGTTTGCAGTGTCTGGAACAAAACGTGCTTTGCAGTATGGGCATGAAACATCCTTGGTGCCACGGTAAATTGGAGTGAACGTAGCTCCACAGACGACGAAGGGGTTTCGAGGATCATAGTTTAGCTCAATCTCATTCTTAGGGTTTCTTTCACTCACTTGCAAGACCTGCAACAGAAGATGATCATTAATATGGAACTAAAACGTGCAGGGCACTTGAGGATCATTGACTTGAAGTTTCATTTATATACCTAGAATTGAAAACTGGAAAATTTGGATTGCTGAAACCACTTCACAATAGAAACTCAACTGACCATACAGCCATGGAATTCACGAACACCAAGGTTATCTTCATGTTGCCGTGATTAGTGCCACTAGACAATGATAAAGGACGTTGAATGTGCAACAAGTATGCTAACCACCTCTTAAAGGAAAATATGATAAGATTTACCTGGCGAGCCTTGCTTGCCATAGCCGGGGACAAGTTCAATTCTAGGAGTCTTCGTGCGATGGAGGCAGCGGTGCTGTAGTTCTTGGACTTGAAACATATTGTCATAGCTGACATCAAACTTAGCTTCAAATGAGTGGGTTGCATCTGACAGTGCGTGAAATAAGCAGAAAGTTCACATTGGCGCTTCAAATCATCTTTCAATGCCGGATCTTTCCTCTTCAGTTCAATTTTAAGCGCAAGAGTGTACTCCTTAGCAATCCCAAGAAGCTCTTTCACCTCATCCACTTCCTTGCGAGAATCCACAACAACAACAGGGATTGTGTGCAAAATATCCAGGAAGAACCTGAAGATTCACAAATATCATTAATCAAGGTTAGTGAAATGAAACCAACTATCACAAGAGCTGCTCTTCAGTAGGGGAACCAAACAAAATATGCTAGAACTGAAGAGAAGAAAAGATAAGGAAAAAAATAAAAATAAAAAGGACTAAACTCATACCGAAGAGCATCAGTGAACTTCCCATCCGTAGTTGCCTTGTATGCAACGTTCAGCTTCTCTTCAAGAGAGGAAAGCTTCGTCAAAATAGCAGGTGATCCCTTGGCATTGATGGGTGAACTATCAGTCCATCCTCGCTCCAAAAACAGGGATAGTCCTGGTACAGATACTAAAGTCGGTAGCAGGGCCTGACTTGCCAAATGAAGTTCCAAGAAAACATTCCTCAAAGGTGTGAAGTTCTGGATTCCAAGCTGACGACTTAGCAGCCTCATAGCTGAATCGAAAGAGCCAGCAGCAGCATGTTCTCCTGCGAGAGACGAGTTCTGAATCCAGTTTTGACTTTTTGGAATTCCTGCGGAAGGAGTAACAAAATAGGCAGCCTCATGTGAAACTTCAGGTACGGCCGCATCAGCTGGAATATCTAGATCCAAATTGTCCCAGCCTCCTTCCTCATCATCACCTGGACAACAAACAGAATATAAGAAAAAAATAACCATACCAAGAAGACAAAATCATATTCTTGCTCTTTTAATTCTAAAAAAAGTAATTATATAGCTTCTCAGATATCTAGGTTCTGTCATACCCACACACGGTAAACAGAACGTCGGCTTCAAATGACACTCACCCCTCTCTTCTTCATCCCCAATCACTTCTTCGTCAACAATCACTGCCTCTCCATTGAAACCCTCCTCTGGCTCAACAATATCTATTTCTGGTCCCCAAGCCCCTGCAGCTACATCCTCATCTTCTATGTCAGCTGTTGCAACAGCTCCTGGAAAAGCACCCTCAAAGAGACCCTTGTTGACCACCAACAACGGCCAGTTGTTTTCCTGAAGAATGGGTCTTGGAGGCATTAACAAAACGGACTTGTCTACCTCAGAGAGAGAAGGAACATTGTCACCAAGCTGTCTTTCCAACTCTTCGGCTATTTCTGTCAACCCATGAACTTTGGCCGTAGCATACGCTAAAGGTAAGTGGTTAGTTTCCTCCAAAATCCTCACTCTTTCTTGAACATCCCCAAGGTAAAGTGCATTGTGGAAGCGCCCCATGACATCATTACGCATTTCTGCAATCTTCAGCATCTTTCCGAGCTTCTCCACATTACCAGTTATAAGATACAAGAAAGAAAGTCTCTCAAAGTTCTTTGTCTTCTGGTATGCATACTCAACAATCTCGTGGTTCCCCTGAAAAAGCATAAAATGAGTAAAAAGTAACATAAGTTAGGGGATGAGTATGATTATTAGCCATTATAAAGAAAGCCATTCCTCCACTCTTAAGAAACACAAAAATTACCAAATAAATCGAGAAAAGAAGGGAAGCTATAAAACAGAAGGATTTTTCATACGAGAAACCCGGAAAAAGTGTACGGAAACTGGATAACAGGTGAGAGGCACACTGGAAATCCCAGACAAGAAAGTCTACCAGCTTCTAAAGACTGGAGCTGACGGTATGCTCATACATCAAGAAAGAAAATTCCAACTTGAACATTTACCTGGCGTAGGGCCTCTACACCAAGGCGGTGCCAGCAATCCTTCTGATCAATTTCCTTGGCTGATGCCACAGCAACTTCGGTGTTGCCGCACTCAACAGCTAAGTTGAAGCGAGTCTGTTCATCTTTTACAAAGTGCAAGGCAACCTCCGGAAATCCTTTCTGCTGCAGATATGCAATTATGGACTGTCCACATAGTTGCAAGCTTTGGATCATGTTCAACACCTGCACAGAAAGCATTAGATGCATAATCACGAACAACTAAGAATTACAAACTGGAGCCCACATGTCTAGCTTCGAGCACTCAAGACAAGTGTACATTTAGATAATGATTTGCTAAATTTGTATGTGGGTACATAAATCCTGTACTTGAGAGAGTATCTATGCTACATTTGTGATAGGACCTGTATGTGAACCATGCTATTGACAAAGGTAACGCCAGTAGCTTGCCTGATCAAACTTGCGCTGGATGAGTGCTAGCTTAAATGTATACTCAGTAGCGTCAATCTGCATCACTCGGTTCTTGCCATCCCGATCCAAGCAGTAGATTGAGTTTCCGCTGACTTTCGTGATGTACACTGGGACGTCTAGTGTCCGAATTATTCCGCTATCTCCATTTGGCAAGCAATATTTGATGTGGTTGAGGGTGGTGTATATGAACACACCAGACTCATCCCATGCGCCACTCTTCACACGAATAGTCTCATGAACAGTGTATTTATGCACAAGCTTCTTGGTGGCCACAACTATGGCATGCTTGCTAAGCAATGCAACGTTCTCCATGTCGCTAGACCAGACCACATACTTCACAAAAGGAGAGCTGACCTCTCCCAGTGTGGCACGTTGCTGAAGATCAAAGAGCACGACTTTGTCCTCTGACCTACAAAGAAGGTTGCCAGTTCCCGCATAAAAGATCACATCTGTGCTTGGAGAAGGAAGAGTTACTTTCTTGGTCACTTCATTTCTCAGATTCTTGATAAGAACCTGGTTTTGGTTCTTATCCAGGACAGCAAATCTGTTTCTTGCCACAAAGACAGCTGACGAACCTAAACCACGTTTTGCCTCCTGAGCTGCCTCACTCCTGCCAGAGCTCTCCTTAGGGATGATATAGAGCTCATAAGAACCACCATCAACATCTGAACATAATAAAACTGCATTCTCAGCTGGGTTGTATGAAAGGGATCGCGGGCCCAGATTGAGACCCATGGACCCTGCTCGCCGAATGGAAATAAGAGGGTTGTCCTTTCCAGCAGCAAAATCGTAAGTGCGCAAATAGCGCTCCTTCACGTAGTATAAAGTGCCCCCTTGAACCGCACAAGCAGGTCTCTCTCTCTCCAGCTTGAAGACGATCATTCCACTATCATGACCAGCAGCAAGAAGGTTCACCTCTGGATGGGCAGACAGAATCCAGAACCGATCATGCTCTCTTCGGAAGGTCTGAACACCAGTGCGCTTCGACATGTCCCACACACGAATGCTCTTGTCTTCGGAGTTTGACACAATGATGTCTTGGCGCGCGTGAAACATGACGCAAGAAACGTTGTTTACGTGCCCCCGCAGAGTATCCACCTCCCATGCCTTTGTATCTGCACAATATTAGAGATTGAATCAATTTACAAGAGTTCATTTTCGTACAATTGGAAACAATACGTCCTGCACCACACAAGCAATTCATACAAATAATTACAAACAGATCTGTTTGACAATCATGAAATTCGTCGTTTAAAAAGTGCTCAGTCGATCGAATAGTATAAAGAATAATGCTGTGGATTAGATGAGTACCGTTCATTCTCCAAAGCTTCACTTGACGATCATCTGCTCCAGAAACAATTAGCGGCAAAGAGGGATGGAATGATGCCCAGTTGACACCCCTGTCGTGACCTTCTAGAACATACTTCACCACGGAATCACCTCCTCCGAAAAGATCCGTGTTCATCTGGGTGAGTCGCATCATATCATCCGCTGGAGACACGGATTTCTTCTTCAATGCTCCTATATCCCAAACCCGCACAGTCTGATCTAATGATGCAGATACCACTAAATCCTCCTTAATGTGAAAGGATGCGCACATCACGTAATGATTGTGCCCGGTGAGTACAGAAATACATGTGCGAGATTGCCAGTTCCAGATGCGGATGGTCTGATCATCGCTAGCACTCACAATCCACGGACTTTCATGATGGAATTGTACCGTCCGGATGTAATCGAGGTGACCCAACAAAGTGAACAGACATCGCCGCATCTTGTAGTTCCATACCTTTATCTTGTAATCATCCCCTGCATTTTGCAATTCCTACAGTTATTAAACTTTATATAGGTACGATGAAAAGATCACACGAACCTAGGGAATCCCACCAAGTAAAACCAGGCATAATAAAGAAAAGTAATATATATGTAGATGGAGACGGAATCCTGATCTCCAGCGCAGAGGAAGATTTAAAGGAGACCAAAATAGCACATGAATCCCAACCTCCATGCAAACTTCTCATTCCTCCAGGACAAATGATTCATTCCACAGAATATTAGCGCTCAAACTCTCTAACTATCGAAACACCATTGCAGACGAGAAGCCTGTAACAGATTCCTCATTCAACCACATTAACTAGCTGCAGCACGTGCTCAATACGAACCCTAACACAGCTTCTCCCAAAGACCACAAACCGACATGTCATAATCAATTTCAATACACCTGTAGCGCGCAATCGCCATGGATATCTTGCTTCAAATGGAACTGTCCTCAATAAACTTAAGACCGATGTGGAATCTACTTAAACAAACAATGCGGAGAGACTCCAGTAGCTAGATCAACCGACCAAAATCCCAGTGAGCTCCTAAACACTGGTATACAGCAGATCCTATCCATCGATAGCGACGACACAGCTTCGTCGGACGATTCAACCCACTAGAAAGGAAAGAAAATCTCACCTCCAGATACAAACAGGGGCTGCGACTTGTGGAAATGGACGCCCCTGACTGGCCCATCATGCTCATCGAATCGGTCAATGAGCGTCCCCATTCGGTAGTCCCACAGCTGAATAATACCGCTGTGCAGACTGGCAAGAATCCATGGCCGCCGCGGGTGAAAGCTCAGCCCCTTCACCCTGTTACTCTTCGTCTCGAACTTGGTCAACATTGTGCCGGATCCACCCAACGCTCACACGTCTCACCTCTCTCACACAAAGGGAAAGATCCAACACAAGGAAAACGAACAAGCTTCTCCTACACACCCCAACTACACATCCTCAAACAACCATTTCCCCGTCCAAAAGGGGGAAGCAAAAAAAAAAAAAAAAAAAAAACTCACGCGCACACTCCTCCCCGGCTCAAGTTTCTCCGCCGCTCCACCAAATCCACCACTGAAACCTAGCTCACACACACACTAACTGTTCGTCCGTCGCACACCCCGATCGCAACCTTGTAAGAACTCCTCCGCGGAAGGCCCTGGTACGTCAATCGGGAGGAAGAAGAGGGGGAGGGGTCGGGGGTGCAAGACGAAGCCAAGCCCGAGACTGAGCTTGATCTCCTGCCATGGCCAGGGTTGCTTGCTTGTTTGCATGATGCCACCTACGTATCCACCCACCCGTATGAATCCATATTAGTATCGTATTCGTATCTTTACTCGTATTACTTTTCCATCGTGTTCTTACTTTTCCACGTCACCGCGTTCCCCCCCGTCGATCGCATCCTTGGCTTCCTGTCTGCTTCCCGGTTCGATCCGTGGGGAACTGAGTTCCCCTCTACCGCTTGAAGTCCCTGGTTGATTGATGCACTTGGGAACGCTGGAGAACTTCTGACTGATTGCCAGAAAAGTTGACTGGGCATTGGAGGTGGTGAATTTCTAAGGCCTTGTTGCTGGCTTCATTAGGAAATGGCTGATGAACGTCTCTGATCGTGGATGAAATGTGGTGTGGTATCACCCAGATGAAATCACTTCTCTAAGAGACAATCACATCGTTGGGAAGTGTCTACTTCTAATGGGAGCAGAGACACATAATTGTAAAAGACTTTTAAAAGTATCAAGTAAGATAATTACACAGATACGTCTTAATAAAAGACTTTTTGCTTTATAAAAGGCTTATTATCTTACTTGATACCATTTGACAATTGACGTTGCTATTTTAATCTTTTTATCCTCTTAGCATATTACATAAATTTCTACAGACTATTAACCATATTAATTTATTCAAATTGTTACAATACATATTAAAAATAACAATAATAATGATTTTAAGTCATGTCATATTGTAGTCTCAATTGATCATCACTTTTGTGACTTATAACATTTCACTGATACTTCCAAATAGTGTGTTGATTCAAATTGTCTACTTGTTTGGACACAAGTTAGGCTTTCTTATTTATAAATTTGTGTATGAACCTCTAATATTAATTAAATTAAAAACTTTGGAGATAGATAGAAATAAATCTCGATTTTTTTAATTGCAGAGATTAAGTATTTATTTAAAATAATTAAAGTGTTAAAAATAATTTAAATCGGTACAAAATGTAGAACTATGAACAAATCTTAAAAATAGAGTTAACATTTCCAAATACACATATTTTAAATTTAGAAGGACAAATAAATATACTTTTGATTATTTTCTCACCACACATTTACTTGAAAATATTCACACGTATTTCATGGTTAACCAATGGCATCACCATAATAAATATTCCTTTTTCTGACATTAGCCTAAAAAACACAATCAAATTCTATGTCCTAAAAAACACAAGCTGATCTGTTGAAAGCGATGAAAAATATACCCTTTCATATGCGATCGGACCAAACGGTGTATGACCGGAACAGATGGTAAATGACCGGATTAAACAGTATCCGTGTGTCTGTCTGCTTGGGGGATGGTTGGTTTGCCCTAAATGAGGCCCCAAGCCCTAAATTTATTTTTTTCGGTCGACGAGCGTGGCCACCTGCATAACATTGCAGGCACACTCATGCCCTGCCTCTTCTCTCACCTCCTCTTTCCATCGCCGCCTTCGGCAGCGTCATCTCAGCTCTGTCACCATGGGGTACGTGACCCCTTCCAGCATTTTGTTACGTAGCTTTGGTAGGACAAACATTTAGTGTGCTTGTTTGAGCGGTGTCTGCAGTGCTTCGGATTGTCGACCGAGGTTTGTTGATCTGGGCAGATGAGGGAATTGGAGCTGAGGCTAACGATGGCTTTCATTGGGTTTTTTTTCTGGTTTTTGCAGGAAGACGCGGGGAATGGGAGCTGGGCGTAAGCTCAAGAACCACCGTAGGGCTCAGTTGTGGGCTGACAAGTCGTACAAGAAGTCTCACTTGGGTAATGAGTGGAAGAAGCCATTCGCAGGGTCTTCTCACGCCAAGGGCATTGTTCTTGAGAAAATGTAAGCCTTTTGTGGAACCTCTTTCAGTTTTTGGGTTTGGTCAAGAGCTACGTACTTCACACGGTGTGGGTCATCTTTAAGGAATCAGCTATTTCTTTGAGGTGTCCTCGAATTCGACAGGACTGTGTTGTGAAATCCTCTCTTAAGCTCCAATCATGGTCTTGTAGGGTTTTTGGTGGCTGAAAATATTCATCTTTAATGTTGATCCTCGAGCACATCTGGGGTTCTTTCTAATTTTTTTTTTTTTTTTTTTTTTTTTTTTTTTTTTTTTTCATATGGCAGTGGTATTGAGGCCAAGCAGCCCAACTCTGCTATCCGTAAATGTGCTAGGGTGCAGCTGATTAAGAATGGAAAGAAAATTGCTGCTTTTGTACCTAACGATGGTTGTTTGAACTACATCGAAGAGAATGTAAGTTTTTGATTTCATTGATGTAGTTGTGTGACCATGACGTGATTGGTTGTGTTAAGTCATTCTCTATTCGCATTTTGGAATGATTTTTGAGTGCCAATCCCCACCCCTACTTCCTATTTTTCCGCTATGCATCTAACTTGCCCACGCATTTCATGTCTCAGGATGAAGTTCTTATTGCTGGATTCGGTCGTAAGGGGCACGCCGTTGGAGATATCCCTGGAGTCCGGTTCAAGGTGGTGAAGGTGTCTGGTGTATCACTCCTTGCTCTCTTCAAGGAGAAGAAAGAAAAGCCACGATCATAGAGGATGCACAAGCGAGTTAGTTATCTATTCTTGATCTGCAGGCGGTCAAAGTCACCTGTAGTATAGTCGTCTTGTTACCACGCTGATCCAACCTGTCAATGGAATGAGCAAGCAGTTGATCCTGCTTGGATGCCCGCAGTTTCATGAATTCATGAATTTTGGAATTCGCCGATGAAGTAAACATGAGCTGAAGTAATCTGTCAATTGTAGGTCCAAGTTGTCTCTAATTTTTTTGTGAATGTATCTCTTCTTGATGAAGGCTTCAATCTAGTTCCCAGTCTTTGCTGATGCTGCGGTAAAAGTTACTTGCACGTTGGTGTGTGAGCGAAGAACGAGCCTCTCGGGTCTGAATCGAGACAGGGCAGTTCACGTGTTTTACTCGACTTCATATTCTATGTGTAATCATCGTAGTCGATGATCCGACATTTTGAATTGTCTCTATTCTAAGGAATTCGTCATTTAGAAGTCCTAAATGTCGCTGTCTCTGTCAACAGGCAGTTTGTGAAAAACCAGCTGAGCTGAATGTTCGAAACTGTGATGCAAAAATGAGTTTTTGAGCAGGAACGAACAAGTTGAATAAATTTGAGGCAACAACCTATGTAGACAAGCAATCTGCGGACGGAGTGATGGAAAGTATTTCATCTCGTTTGGATTATCTATGCATTCGTTCCCGTGTATGGGTGCCGAGTGTTGAGTAGATTCGAATTTAGAAATATGGAATTATGAAATATCAAAGATGCAAAAGAAGTGTCGAAATGATTCAGCTGTTTCTTTCTTTTATCCGGGAAATGGTTGTGATGGGGTGATATAAGGACCAAGGATATTATAATATTGGTCCCGTTCAATAAAGACTCTAAACAAGACTTTGAGCAATACTTTAAGCAATACTTTAATCAAGACTCTTTTTATTAAAATTCACTATTAATTGTATGTGATATAATTACATGTATCAAATTATTTTAATCAAGACTCTTTTTATTATAATCCACTATTAATTGTATGTGATATAATTACTACATGTATCAAATTATTTTTAGGACAGTTGTTAAAGTCACACCTCATACCTCCAAACCATGTAATAATTAATTTTGGGAGAGAAGGAATGAGAAACAGGGACATGGAACAAGGCACGAGAATTAGAAACAAGGTATGTGAGACATAGAATAAGGGTTGGGAGACATGGAACAAGGAACAGACATGGGGATGGATGGAATTGATTATGATATGGCAATGTGAGGTGTGGCTTTAATAACATTGGGGTGTGGTTTTAACAACTCCACATTAAATTAATCCAAACTTTTTACCAAGTTTTCCCTTCTTCAAAATGAGTGTATAATTCAAAAAGGTTGAATTATGAATCACCTCTTCAAGTTAGAAATTTTGCAATGAAAGAGACTAAAAATTGATTGCTTACATAGGTCCCACATGTCTAGTTGTAAATCTAGCAATTTTAATCTTCAATTTCAACCTAGACAATTCTTGTGCTCACAAAAATTACCAAAAATATTCATTCATGAGATTATTGATTATTTTATTATTATTTTATTATAATAATAATAATTATAATAATTATTATTATCAAAGACTTTAGAGATTATTCTACAAATGTTTCATACTATGCATTATATTAGACTTGATCTATGCTCTCATTTTGAAGAAGTAGAAGCGCGGCAAAAGGTTTTGGATTATTTTAGATTTAGATGAGTTGATTTATTATTCTTTTTTTATTATAAATATATTTATACTATAATATTCTAATATTTAAAATCTACAGAAGTTTTAATGGGCTATATTTGAAGATTCTTCTTAAAAACTTTTAAAAAACTTTAGAAGCTTTAGAAAAGCTACATAATTTTTTTGGAAGGTAATAAAAAGTTTTACAAATAAATTTAGAAGATCTTAAATAGGCATAAATTAATATTCTTCTATATTTATAATTTCACTTTTTCTTTTAGAAATGAGATTTGTAATGAAAATTGGTTATTTTTTAAATATAAAAACATTGAGATTTATTAAAAAAATTGTGCTATGTAAGTTGTTATTAAGTTCTTTCTTAATAGATAGTTAGATCCATATAACCATTAATTAGGTTGCAACTTCTATTAATTAATAAATTAGTTTTTATAACATAACTTGAATTCAATGTATCAAAATATTTTAAAAAACGACTTATAACTTATTAGATTCAATACTTCAAATTTATACTAAGATTTGAATAGTTTAAATATTTTGTTATCTGGTTTGATTAATTTTGAATTCAACTACATAAAATAAAAAGTTAAAAAATATGTTATAGATTAATACTTTTAATAAAAAAAAACACTCAAATTTTGATTCTTAAGATTACTTTGAAGATTCTCTACTTATATATATATATATATATATATATATATATAAGCTTTTAGATGAAGAAAAAAAGTAGTGCAGTATGGCTTCTAAGCAAAAAAATAATAACAATCATAAATCATTTTACCTATAGAGGTCTAGTTTTAAGGTAGATGTTATAGACATATATATTTATTTAGATAAAATGAATTATATAGAAGTAAGTAGAAGTAAGTTAAGTTGATAATATCTTATAGAGAAGCTTCTTAGAAGCTTGATAGGCATGGATTTGACCTCATATGTGTTTGTAGGTGATTGGTAGGTTGAAAACTTTGCCAATAAGTTGGCCATGTATTGCATATGTAGAAAACTTGTTTTGCAAGTTAGATATATATCTTACAAATTGGACATGTGTTAAAGGTCCTCTAAAATATGACCATGTAGCTCCTAATCAAATAACCTATATAAATGCAAGTGTGAAGCCTTCTTCATTCTTATCAATACCTTTTTTATTCTTAGTTTTACTTCAAAAGTCTTTAGTCTTCTTATCTTTGGCAATAGCAATTTTGATCTTTATATTATATAATTTTTGAGTGATTATCTATACTTGTCTCATAATATAAGAGTATATTGATCTTTTGGTTTTTTATAATTCATGCCCTTACTAATTTGATGGAAATGCTAAAACACTATTTTTATTTTATATTATTGATTTTAAAGGTTGCATATTATCTACCTTTAAACTATCATTTTTGATGATTTCTAATATTGATTCTTTCTTTGATGAAAGTTAACTATCTTTTTTGTGGGAATTTTCATTTAATATTAGAAGTTGTGGATTATTCTCTTTTAATTTAACTTATAGATTTGTTAAAATTATTTATTATAGGAATAATAGGAAAAATTATAGATGCTATACTTTACAAAAATAGAAATAGATTTACAACTATTGTAGATCTTTATAAATTTCTCAGTATTTTAAAGATATAAATTTTACATATAAACAATTTCAATTATAGAGATATTATTTCTACTCCTGTGAAAAAAGTCAAGAATGAAGTTCAATGTCTATGCTAAGAAGTTGTATAGTTAAGGGAAGCAAGTAGATCAACCTTAGAATTGAATTTGAGAAGTTTTCCTATTATAAGTATGAAAGAGATAAGAATCAATATGCCAAAATTTTTTATTGGAACAAGATAAAAAATTCAAGGATTTCTACAACAAATCAAGTTCTATTTAAGGTTACATTCTTTCTAATATTTTGATGGATTTATTCATATTAAATTCATAGCTACACTTTTATCTAAATTTATTTTATTTTATTTTATTTTATTTTATTTGCATCATTAATGGAAAATGATTCATAAGTCTTATATAATCTAAATGTATCCTTAAAAGTATTTATAGCTTCATTTAAATAAAGTGATTAAAGAATGTAGAAAAGATCAAATTTCTATCTTTATAATAAGAATCATAATTATTTACTAAATATAGTATTAAATTTAAAAACCTTGCTTATAATGTGGATTGAAATGACAAAGCCTTTATTAATCAATTTCAATATGGATTAAAAATTAATTTCAAAGATATAATATTGACAATACCAAAGTAGACTCATTAGAATAATTTATTGCATAAGCCATTACATGCAACAATCAACTTTTTAAATGATGCTTAGAACAAAGATTTAGCTAAAGAAGAATAAATCAAGTCATGACAAAAAATTCTAAGTTTTTATAAACTTATTTATTAAAGTTGTAACTTTTGCAAATTGACACAATATGTTTTAAATCGCTTATTAAACTATAAAAAAAAAAGATTATATTTAGATTAAAAAGAACCTAAACATATTACTTAATTTTTTTTTAAAAAAATAAAAAATAATCATGAAATGAGAAGTATGGTTTTTAAAGATGAAATTATATCTGAAAATAAGTTTATTCAACTACAATAGGGACTAAATAGCTGGAATCTTTTGCAACATGTACCAAAGGTCATATTTTGTTTTTAGGTCATCTACCTAATTTTAAAATAGATGTTTGTTTAGAACCAAAAAATTAAAAAGTCTCTACTTTATTACATTTAAGAGCTTCAACTTGTTTTATAGACAAATACTTTGTTAATAAATAAAAAATATCATTAATAAAGCAAACTAATTTTGTACATATAGAAATTATAGATAATTATTTGTTTTGTTTTTGAAATGTTACACATTAAATTATTTCTATAGATTTATCAACTAATAGTCATGATAGCCTATTAATATTTAATATTATTAGATCTTCTTCAAATCTAATAATTTTAGATTTATTCTATTTAAAATAATATAATCTTTAAATAAATAAGATTTTTTATAATCTTGATTTTTTCATAATATAATCTAGATTTTTGTTATTCAAGTAGAAAGCCATAAGTTTAGTACATCCAAACCCTTATTTGTAGGTACAAGAACTTTTATATATGTTATAAAAGAATGATAATCTTTTGTTATTTATGCCACATCTATTTTTGATAGTAGATAGATTTTGAATAATATTTTAAGCGAATATTAAGATTATTCAGATTTTTTTGAGAAAAAAATGCAAGTATTCTTCTAGACCATTATTATTACGATTCTTTAATTGATCTTCAAAAAAGAACTCAACTACCATTTGGACTTACCTATGACATATTGCACAATAATTTGGCTGCACTTAAAAAATATATTATCAAAAATCTTATCAAAAACTTTATACACCATTCAAAATCTCCAATAAGACATTTTATCTTCTTTGTAAAGAAAAATAATGAATCATTGCAAAAATATGTGGACTATCTAAAGCAAAAAAAGATCACCATAAAAAATAAGTCTCTTCTAACTTATATATTAGAATTTTTCAATCAATTGAATCAAGCAAAGATCTTTATAAAATAGATCTATAAGGATCATAAAACTTGATATACATTAAAGAAGGAGATGAATGAAAGAATGCGTTTTGATTTGGATATAAAAAATATAAATGTAAAGTCATGCCTTTTAAACTCATAAATGCATCAACTATTTTTTACCATGTAATGAATGATATTTTTCAAGAATTTATAAAAAATATTATTATGTTTCATTCAAACTACATTTTCATATATTCTAAGAACATAAAAGAGTGAACTTCATATTTGTTGAATATTACAAGGACTTAAAGATACAAGATTGTATGTCAAGATAGAAAAGTGTGTATTTTATATAACTTGAGTTGTCTTTTTAACATACATTATTTCATATAATGATATTATGATAGATTCTAAAAAATTTCAAATTATCATGGATTTAAAGGATAAAAAATAATAAAGAATATCTAATATTTTTTAGATTTATTAATTATTATTTGATCTTAATTAAGAATTATTTTTAAGTCACAATTCCACTTATATATTTCACTTATAAAGAAAAACTTGAGTGAAATAAAGAAATTAAAGTATCATTTCAAGCTTTGAAGATAACTTTTATAACAATCTTAATATTATATTGCATTGATTTTTCTAAAATATTTTTTATAGAAACAAGTACATCAGATTATTCTTTGATTGTAATATTGTTATAAATAGGAACATATGAAAAACTTCACACAATAGCTTTTCATTCAAAAAAGTTTTAGTAGACAAGATCGACTACAAGATCTATAACAAAGAGCTTCTTATAATTACAGATTTGTTTTAAAAATGGCTCTATTATCTAGAAGGTGCTTTTAGTCTAGTGACTATTTTTAAAAATTACAAGAACCTTAAGTATTTTATGTCAATACATATTTTAAATTGTTGTCAAGTGTGTTGGAGCATGTTTTTGTCAAGATTTGAGTTCAACATCACTTACTGACTAGAAAAATAATAATATTTTTCAAAAAATATTTTTAAATATTTTTATCTTATATAAAAAGAAAAAAATATAACTTTTAATTAATAAATAATTATTCTTTTGAAGTCAAAGTAATTTATCTTTAAAAAATAAATTCCACATTAATTATTAATTTTATTTTTAAAAATTAAATAAAATTAAATATATCCTATAATCTTATTATTCTTGATATTAAAATCAATTCTTTAAAATCTCATAATACTTTTATATTTGAGTTTAAAAACAATCTATTTTATTTCAAAAGATACTTATATATTCTAAAAGATGAAGCATAATTATATGATTTTTAAGCTTGTTATAATTTTTTAATTACATAATATTTTATACTCAATAAGACATTGAAATTGATATCAAGAGGTTTTTGGTGGCCTTAAATGTAGAAAGCACATAAAGATTTTAAAGAATCATGTGATATTAGGATTAGATTTAACAAATAAATTATTAAGTATACTAAAGGTACAATTAAAAGAAACTTAAGAACTATGTAAGATTATTGTAGATGCCTATTGTAAAAAACAATTGTAATTTCACATTGGTGAAAAGATATAATTAATTTGTTGTAATATCAAGACTAGTTGCATTTGTTATAAGTTGAAACATCATAAACTTAGACCATTTTTTTATTTGTAAGGAAATTTGACTTCATATGTATTTGTAGCTGATTGATACATTAAAAACTTTATTAACAAGTTGACCACATGGCACACATGTTAGTAATTTGTGGTATCAATTGGCCATGTGGTTCACATGTAGAAAACTTATCTTGTAAGTTGAATGCATATTAAATGACTTACAGAATGTCACCACATAGCTTACAGTCAAATAATATATATGAAGACAAGAATAAGAACTTTCCACTCTTTTCAATGTCTTATTTTTAGACTTGTTTCAAGAGTCTCTAATCTTCTTGTCTTTGGTAATAGATATTTTAATCTTAGTATTGTGTAATCTTTGAGTGATTATGTATACTTGTCTTGTGACATAAGAATATACCGAATCTTTGATTCTTTATAATTCATGTCCTAGGCAATAGATGGATCTAATCCTTATTTATTGTTTGTCTATTATTTCTAAGATTGTGGGCAATGGGTACTTAATAAATAGAAGACAAATCTATTCTTTTAACAATCAATACTTTGTTTGTCTGATTGGATATATTTTGGAGATACTCTTTATAGTAGTGGTTGTCATCTATATTACCAACATTCCTAGAACAAGCTTAGGTAGTTGTGATGATTTTAGATTACTTCTTCTTTATGTTTGTTAGTCTAATTTACAATGTTTTAAGATATTACACCTTCTCTTGAATTATTTTAATTTTTATGCTACTTTAAATTAGATAATTTTTATCATCTTTGTATTATAGGCTACTTTAAGCTAGATAATTTTTATCACCTTTGTATTATAGGCTACTAAATTTAGTAGAAATATTATAAATATTTAATTATGTCAAAAATCTTTATTAGATAAATCTTTGGCACATCCATCAATTTTGTCTTGCATCCATGCTTCTTAGTTCTTCTATTTCCATATTTCTATGTTCTTTGGTTTCTGAGTTTTCCAAATTCCTTTCTTTATGGCCAATCAAAAGACTTCTTTGTCTCTTTGTATTATATCTAAGCTATCCTATGTAATAAATGCTTTCATTTTTTGTAGAATCCTACTACAAATGAATATGAGGCTTGACTAGCCTATTTCTACAATCATTTTTTTAAAGTTTAAAGTGATTATCTTGTTTTTTGAGTTGGATTGTGCTTCTGTTAAACTTTATTGTAATTATTTGAATACAAAATAAATTGAAATATTTTATTTTTATTTTTATTTTTATTTTTTTCAATTGAAGATAATATGATTTGACATTCTACTTGCTCTACAACAACAATGATATTAAGAAATCAGGCCTATACAACAAAAATAAATCAAGTTTTAACAATAGTCTATTATAACAAAACACAATTGCCAGTAAATTCCACCCAATTTTATTACTGACCGGACAAAGATAATATGAGTTTGTGTAAAAGAAAAGTATTGTTTGAACGAGTTTGAAATGAAGCATTATGATTGATTAACATAACTGATCAACTAATCAGTATTGATTGAAAGTGATTAGAGGGATTACAATATTGCAAACAAAAGTTTAGGGTTATGTTTTTAGTATAATTCGAGTAAAAAGTAATTGGAAGATCAATTCCAAAACCATGTCTTGATAAAAACGTGTTGTTTGCGGAGACTGATGATGTTGGCTGATGCACGTTTCAAACGTGCATACGACGTCAGGAAATGGACACTGTGATAGTTAACTGAATTTCCATAACTTCCTCAATGCTCCAGAAATCAACTGTTTTCTAGCTCCATATTATGAGCATGCTTGCAGCTAGACTTCTCACCATTCAGCTTGTCCCAGTAATGCCCGGCAATTGATTAGATAGAAGCTGGGATGTATGGTCACTGATCAGTAAAACCATTGTTTTAAGAAGCCAAAGTTGAGGGATTCGGAAAAATTGACGTGCTTGTCTTCGAACCTTGCTTTGGTGGGGAGTATGAAGCTTAGAACAACCCCCAATGCATTAAGTTGTGAGTGATGTCCACAACGACCTTTTAATCGAACACCCGCTCCGTGTTTGAATTTGATGTGTATGAATCAGAGAAGGTTGTCTCTGGAGAAAAATTTCCCTCAAAAAAAATTTCAATGCTGTGATGACCTGAATGTACTCAACCGACTGCACCACATAAAAACGCTATGGAGTGTCGTAACTGGAGACTAACGAGTCTCACATTGTTTCGGATATGTAGCATGTATCAACTGTTCGAGAGCTGGAGTTCCAGATATTTTGATTGGGTAGTCAAGTTTTGTCTAGGTTTACGTTGACGACGCACATGCCGCCGTGACAGCAGGTGCATCGGTGCCTGGGGGTAATGGGGTGGCATCTTGGCTGTCCGATTCATTGCTTCCCGGCATACTTACATCGCAAGAAACGGGAATCTCTCCTCGAGCTTGTTCAACGGCCTTTGCAATAATTTCTTGTGGAGGCGGGTGGTCATACTTACATGTCTGCCCGAACTTGCATGCACCTGTCTTCATGTAGTATGCACAAGGCGCCTCAGTCTGACAAAACAACGACACTGCCGCTAAGGCTCTGCAAGCACTATCGAAAAAGAGGCTTGGAATTGACTTGATTCCCAGTAAGTTGAATAAACTGAGGCGTTTGGTACACATGATAATGTCTTTCAATTGGAGAACATGAATAAAATCTACTTTAATAAAAGAAGAAGAGTGAGAGCATTTAACACTCACAACTGCACCAATCTCTATCTTTGAAGCTTATGCAAAAATTAAAAGCAGAAGAAGAAGAAGAAGGAAGAGAAGAAAACAACAAAAAAACAAAAAATCAAATTACTTTTAAATGTCGGACCTACGTACCTCTCTTCTGGGGAGACCAGCAAGACTAAGCTTCACCAACCCTTGGTTCTTGGCTGGTTTGGGAATGCCCGTGGGTATACGGTCAGGGGGATGATGGAATTTACAGGTAGCTCCAAAACTGCATTCTCCTGTCTTTATATAAAACTATATCGCAGCACACGTAGATTGAAAATCGTCACAACCAAATTCTACTTTCTTTAAAGAGGATAGAATTATCATGATGTAGTTAAAGGATTGTATCTGATGTTCAACACACATTTTGAATGGTGACTTCTACATGTCATACCTAAACTAAATAACAAAACTTCGGCATTTCTTGTTTTTTATCCCCTTGAGGATATCAATCCTCGACCAACTGCAACCATTACTACTTACTGGAACATGGAATTAATTGCAATGGACATAATGAAGAAACTTTAAAAAATTTCAAGAAATCTCATGGTGAGGAACATACAGTGCAGTCCGGTTCGCCAGGTCGTTGTGGATGTGGTAAGCTCATGGGTGTCGCATACACTGATGTCACATTTTGATGATAAGCTTGCGCCGCAGCATACATGTACTCTTGGGAGTTATGGGCAGCCGTGCAAGCATAGTCTCCAGTAGAAGGTTGTCCTGAAGCCTCTGAGGTATAAACAGTGGTGGCATATTGGTCTGATGCACCTTGTCCTGGTTGCTCTGTTGAGTACATGTACTCTGTCCCGTTTCGAGAGACCTGCTGAGTTGCATAGGTATAATCTTCTTGACACTGAGGTTGTTGTCCAGCTGCATACGCATACTCAACAGCTTGATCAGTTGTTCCTGGAGGATACGTTTGGGCAGTTTGCCCTTGACTTTGGTCAGGTGTGCCTGGAAGAAAAGTTTGAGTTGCAGGAGGGCATGACTGAGGAGTTCCTAGAAGGTGCGTTGATGCATAAGTAGTACCTGGAGGGTAGGTTAGCTGCTGGGGATGAGACTTAGTTCCAGGGGGATAAGTTTGAGAGGTTGTTCCCGAAGGATAGGACTGGACCTGACATAAACCTAGTGCAGTAGTACCCTGGGTATATTGCTGCATGATTGTCCCTAGGGAGAAGGTTCGAGTTTGGGAGTAGCCCTGGGTGGGTGTTCCCGGAGGAAAAGATTGGGCGGGGGTACCTTGAGAATAACTTTGAGTGGGTGTTTCAGGTGGATAACCTTGTGTAGTTGATCCTGCGGGATACACTTGCATCATCGCTCCTCCAGGATAAACATATTCTGTAATAACTTGTTGACCTGTATATGGAGCTGCTGGGGAAGCATAAGCTGGTGCCGCGGTGGAGTACGTAGTAGCCACTGGATACGCAGTCGGAGCTGTGGTGTATGTTGGTGTTGTGCTTTGATATGTTGTTGCAGGATATGAATAATCCGGTGTGGCCTGCATATACAACTTTGCCTCCTTCAGAGTGAAATTTAGTAGTTGTTAACACTGCTAATGCATTCTTGGCACACAAAGTATGTTCACTTCTTATTAAAATTTCATTATAAGAACCAAGTTTTTTTGTGAATTGCATATTCAAAGAGAACCAAGTTTCCTGATATATATATATATATATATATATATATATATATGAATTTGTAGTACTTATAACTACGTGCTAACAGTCGTCAATTTCCTAAGCCGTCGAACTCTATGAGAAGATGACTGGACACAATTACCTGAACCATTTGATATTGTGAATTAGGCTGCTGCGGAGGTTGCACATAAACAGCTTGTTGTGGCTGAAGAGTTTGCCCAGTCCTGCCTCCAGCTAGGTCAAACAAAATAGTATAAACATTTAACGTCAAGTCCAGCTTGTAAAGAACCTGACTTAACTTAGAAGATTAAATGTGATACTTTCAAGTTTAAATACTTTTCTCATGAGAAAAATTCAATACTGATTGTAACAGACACATAAAAGAGAAATAATGCAGCCCATAATACTGTAAATCTACAAGCAGCTCTCATACCTCACCACGCTATTGTATCGAGCTTAGGAGGAATGGTTGCTAACCAAACCAATCAATGTATTGGCAATTTTTGCCATACTACTCGGATTTGTGAATGCGACATAAGCGCAATGAGTACGTACATGAGTTTAGGTCATGTATGCAGAGGTTAACATACATAAGGCAAAGAGAGGGTTAAAACCATAATCAATGAAAGGCCACAGCAAATAGAAAAGGGGACAAAACAATCGGATAAGGAGAAGGTAATTCATCAACTTATCGTATCTATCATGTATCAGAAAGCACATAAAATTGTCAGACCTTTCATTCTATGTCATTCAACCTGTGTTAGAGCCAGTTATGACTTGTCAAATACACAGAGAGTTCTATACTACATACATATTTTTTAGCAGTTCTCAAGTGCTGCAATAACTATAGCGAAAGTTTGATCACTCGTGCTAAAAGCATAGATCGCAACTGTGCTTTTTACTTCTAAGCATTTTAGACGAATTCGCACAACCTAGGATTCTGCAAGTAATGGTCTCAGGAGAGCAAGTATTACCGGGAAAGACAATTTCTGGATGATTATAACGGCACGCAGGACCATGTTTACAACTGGTTCACCCCAAGAGCCACTTCTTCCATGTTAGAGAATATTCTCTTTATATTTTTACGATACGAATAAAATGTAACGTTAGAAATACCAGATTAGTAACATCTACCAAATAAATAAACATATGGTATGGAAAAAAAAAAGGAAATATCATTAACAACGCACCTCCCTGTTTTACCATAGAACACACAATTGCCTTCTCCCTGCACATCACGAGCACAAGCTTGGATGTTTTAATCTCACTATAATTTATATTGCGAGCTCCTATTCCATCTTCGATAGTGAGCTCTGTAAATACAGATTTTACTAACAGTAAGCGTACTTACTCAGAACTTATTAACGGTGATGCTACTGCTTAAAGGATTAATGGAAACTGGAAACTAATAAACGTTAAACCGAAGATGAATACTACCCTTCATGGTAAACCTCGGGCAAGTTACTCCTAAACCAAAAAAAAAACATTTAGTCGGGTATGAAGCTATTTTGTACAGTTTAGTAAGTACATCAATGTACAGCTTCCAGAATGACAATTTCCGAAATGAGCTCTAGAAAAATACGCAACTTTCAACGACGAAAACCCGGAGATGGATGTATTGTAATCCATGAAGAATATATTTTGATTTTATAAAAAAGTTCGAAGTGATTAAATTCCTGTAGTCAACAAAAATAGGAACAGGGTATATTAAAATTATATTGAAGACATGATAGGAGTCACTCACAGGTCTCAAGGGTAACCCATTGGTATTATATGCGGTTGCTGGATTACCAAAAGCAGCTGAACTCGCAGCGGAGTATTGATCATCCGTGTTGCTTGGTTCAAGCTTCTCTTTCGGATGATTGAATCTACACTGAGGACCATACCTGCACTCTCCTGTTTTCATAAAATACTGCACAATTGCACATTATTCATTCATATCACACCGAAAATATGTAGCATTAGTAGTCCAAGGTGTGATTCTCACACCACTATTTGCTCTCTGCGCAAACTGAAGGTGCTACCTTGAGACTGCAGTGGTAAACTTAATAGCTGTGAAGGAAATCATCAGACTCGTAATTTCCAAAACGAACTGTGGCCATATCAAGTTGTATCTAAATTGTGCGACAGAAATTATTAACATACAAAAGAAATTCAACTGTTTTAAGTGATGAACTCTGGTTTAGGTAACATCTTTCTAGCCCTGATAAAAATAAATAAAATAAAATAAAATAAAATAAAAACATTACTTAGAAAATCATCATAGAAGTGCATAGAGTAACAGCCCAAAAAATAGAGAAAAACTTGGATTCAAACTTTAAAAAATTAATAATTAAAATCTGTGTTCGGAGCTCACAGCACAGTCCGGCTCTGCAGGTCTTTGAGGTAGCAAACATGGATCTACTGGTGTCCCAACAGCTGTTACCTGGCCACCCGTACCACTTCCCTTTTATTAGGTTCGCTTCTTCACGACCGTATGGTACACACCAAATGCAGAATGAAACATTAGTTTGGTTCTTCAGTAGCCAACCCTCGACCATTTGAAATTTAATCCAATAATCTACTTTAGTCATATAAACCAAAATTCAAGAGCTGTATAATGACACTAGAGCATAACTACAGATGAGAAGGGAATGGTGTATAAACTAGTTTTCTATTTGTAGCTTCCTACATTGAATAAACTTTTTCACGACTTAGAACTGTGGTGAACTCGTGGATAATGCATCGCCATTCATGAAAGACGTACACAATCATTGAACTGGGTGAGAAATCTGCTCGCCCAACTCTACACCAAGGGCAAGTATTCTACCTCCTTCCAGCTGGGTATGCCACCGGGAGGCAACCATGCTGGATGGTCATACCGGCATGTAACACCAAAACTGCATGTGCGGGTGGCCATGTAATATGCACACACTTTCTGCCCAGGTCTTTGAGGATACAGGCCATTTTCTCCTGAAACCCCCGAACTGTTCGACCGGGGCTTCTTATTAGGTCCAGTCATATCATCAGTGACTAAAACAATAATAATCCATGTGATGTTTAAAGGATGTAGCAGGAAATGAATCCAAAAGAGGAAAAAGGTTTATGAATAAAACGAAGCAGATACAAAAAGAGGGAACAAGATGAAGGTTATGTCATACAGATTGTAGTAGGACGTGGAGAACACCGATAGTAGGGAGATAGTATCGTAGGTACACACGTAGAAGCCATCCCGAACAATCACATTTGCACGCACAACAGCGATCAAGGTTAGATTTGATACCAAACAAGTTTAAAAAAGGAATGGCTGATCTAACTCAATACGGTCATGATTGTAATTAAAATGAGTTAAGCTTTTCAAAAGAACGAAGAAAGAAAGAAAGAAAGAAAGAAAGAAAGAAAGCAGAAATTCAGATACTACACAGCGACATTTTTGAAAATCTAGAGAACTGTGCCAGCTAGCATTTTTGCACAGTAAACACATGGACATGCCACCGAGTCCACCGTGGTTCCCAGAGGAAAACTTTCATGTCAGTTTGTTGCCGCAACCCCACGTCGATTATCACAACCTCAAGATTTCTCAGCAAGTTGTACTACCTCAAATTCAAGAAAAAAATACATGAATCCCACCAAGATGTAGTTTAGTTAAATCAGAGAACCACAAAAAGTATCAAATGAACTTCTCACATCGTACAACGGGTAAAATCAAGGTAATCACAAAATTGTTTAAAAGCACCAAGAAATGTCCTGGTGATTGGGTTCAAAGAGAACCCTCAGACGTGCTCGCCTTTACACTAATATTACGTACATTGCGCCTAGATTTCCTTTTTAAAGACACTAGTCTTACAGCATATGGAAGACGTTGTAGATAAGCCCCAAGAACATTCCAGACATTTGATTTCTCAAGCCTCTCTTCAAGACTCAAATGTCCTGAAAATTTCATATGGTGTGTAAGATACTTGCATTGTCAACGAAGTTGAAAGCCTGTGTAGAGATATGTAGGTAGTTCTAAGTAAGCGTCAAGTAGCAACTCTGCTGAAGATTAGTTGGGTCAGGAAGAACTTGTAATGTTTAGTTACTCAATTTTCGGTATGTAAAACTTACTAGGCTGGAAGCGGAGAGGACAGTCACATTTGCAAATAAAATGCTTGTTCTCGCGACGCCTCTATAATTTCAAAGAAAAGAAAGCTATGAATTCCACACCTGAAAACTTAAGTACATCTATGTAGAATTAAGTAGACAATCTATGTTTATTTACCGATGACGATACACATGCGCAGAATTTGAAAGTTTTCTGGCTACTATGGCCATAAGTCAGATAAATTTCACCGAACAAGAAATCGGGTACATTGTAGCTTTAATGCAGACAGACGAATACCTTGATCGAACAAATCAAGAGTATTCCATCTGAGGGAATTCACCGCTTTGCAATACTAACGTACCTACAATATTCACATATTATTTACAAGGTCCATGAGAATAAATAAGATGCGTAACATAACTTGGAGAAAATGAAGTAGTTAATACTTAGCAATAAGCATATTGCTCTACACAAATAACAGGATTGCGGAATTCACTTAGTGCTCTCAGTAGTAGCGGATATTACCAGGTTAGGACAGCAACAATTATTCAACACCAAATCAAACTCACTGCTTGAAGAAAAAATAAAAAAGAAAAAGACATGATGAAGCTGACATGCTAAGACGACCTCGAAAGATCCAATTAATAGAAAAAATCAAAACTGTCTTCAATAAGCAAGTTACTCGGTACATTGTTCCACATTATCTCCAAATCTCAACAGAAACGTCTCCTAACTGAAAATTGGTAATACCCTTGACCAGACATCAGCGAGGTACAACTGGTACAGATTGCAACGATAATCAGTAGAAACAAAGTAATTCACCACCACACACAATGCACACATGCTCTCAATCCAGCAATTTCAAGTATCACTCCGTTACTTCACCGTCAAAACCGATGCATTATCATCAGAGAGAGAACAATGCAAGGGTTCAAAGAGATCTTATATATGACGAGAATTCATTGCCAATAGATCGATGCAGCAAGTCATAGACACGAACGCTCAACACTTAATAGACATGAAAGAATTCAAACTGTGAGTACAGGATCAATCGGAGAAGTAAACAAAATTGTGTACCTCCATCGGACAAGCGTTTTGCAGCACCATCAGCAGACTGATCCATCGCAATTGCGCCGGACGGAGGCGGAGCAGAACTCGAGTATTGCGCAAAAGCTGCAAATGGCGTTGCTGTTGTAGTCTGCGGCACTTGCTGCGTGTAATATTCGTAGTGCACAACCCCGTGTGGTGGAGTCGAGATGGCGTACACTACTTGATGACTCGCTGCCGTCATTTCCAAACAGTTGCAGCTGCAGCTATGGAGAAGCGAAACTAGAGCACAAACCAAAACGGAACAACACTTTGCTCGGGGAAGGGCCTTCTTGGTGACATGCCTCGCCGTGTTGGGCACCGAGCGGTGAACCCCGTCCTCTGGTCGCCTTTTTTTCTGCAGGAGAACACCGCAGTCCTCTCCAACAACGACCGTGGGTCGCCGTTTTTCAGTCTCCACTGCGCAACCACCCTGCCAGTTTGAGGGTCACGTATAAATTTCTCATTTAGGTAAGCTAATTTGTCGTTGGCTGCCTTTTGTGTTAAGATTAGAGCTCCATCCACGCGTCTCGTTGACGCTGTAGACACTGCTCATGCTTTGCCAGTACGGGCCAAAAGGAAAAAGCTGATTTCTGTTTTTGAGTTTCTTTCAGCTTACAGTATTGCTGGATTGTGTCTGGTGTGTGAGGTGCAAGCATGTTCGGATAAGAAAAAGATCTGAGCTCCAAAAGCCTTCCGGACACTCGAGTTAGGCTGAAGTGTCTGTGGTTCTTGTGCATTCTTCACTTGCAAGGAGTGAACAAAAGAGCTTCATGCCCTGAATGGGTTTTGTTTGTAATGTCTACATTTGAAGTTCATTTCCAAATTCAATCCGGCGCAGAGTGCTTTGTTTTCGCAAAGGCGTGAGGGCTTGGAATTCGGTAGCTCATCAAGGCAAGATGGTGAGCACCGTAGGGCAGTACCCAGCGTCCCAAATTTGGGCTATGGCGCCAGTCCTGAATTCTCAACACTTGAAGCCGACGTTGAAGGCGCATTCACGGCGACCACAAGGTTTGCGGACACCACTGTTGGGCAATCAATTTGTTCACCCTGGAGTTCATCTTCCGATCTTGGATGTTTTCACCAGAGTGGGTGCGTCCAAAGAATGGAGAGCAAAGACTACAATGACGGTGATTTCGCCGGAGTCCGGACGAATGCTGTTTTGTGCGTTGACAGCCTGTGCTGCGACGGGTCAGGTAAGCTGCTAAATTTCTCACAATTTTTTGGGTCAATACAAGAAACAACAAAAATGCTTTCCCCTGCGTAGAAGATGAGATTCGTTATTCTGCAACTTAGTTCCTTAAATTTCCTAGACATTCAACCAATGATAAGTGTGGGTGGTGGTAGCTGTGAGTGGTACATTTTGCTTTTCAAGGGATTTTGAATTTGAGTTGTAGAATCGTCGGACGTGTTACGTTCTTCGGTTTTGCAGGTTCTGGAGTCGAGGACAGCGTTGGGATGCCAGATTTCTGCGCCTTTGCTAGCCATGGGTGGTGGAGTGCTCCTCTCTGCTTGCGGCGTTATACCTCCTTCAGCTGCTGTTTATGATTTGGTACCTCTGAGCCTCATTGACCAAATGAAGAAGTAGAAGATCTCTCATAACGGAGTGAATTACGATTGACTACTGAATTATCGATTTTTCTGAGGAATTTTGCTTTCATAATCCAATTCTATGTGGGGTTTGCATTTACTTTGTTTTATTTTTGAGTTCTTTTTTTAGCTGCGTGAATTTGCTAGCCCTTTTGATTTATTTATAAAGATGGGGTTATTGCAATATCACACTCAGTCCACTCGTGCATCGAGTGGTTAATTGAAGCGTCGAAGGTTGTCCAGTTATGCTAGAATGTATCGCGTTTATAAAGCAGTTTCTCTACGCATCCATGTTATTGAGGTTTCGTATGGAGCCAACCTGGGGCTCGAGGTACAATGACTGACAAGGAATTACACAGGCAGGTGTTATCACTGGGAATGCCGATGGCAGTTGCAATGTGCTTACTTGAAACCGACGTGACGCGAGCATTCACAGATGCAGGTAAACTAACATTGTAATAGTTTAAGTGTGTTAAAAACATCGGTAACCTCTAATTGCGATTTCTGTAATGACAAGTCTCCAATCTATACATGTATGAAGCTATTATGCTCTGTGTATGCCGAGGTTTGGTCGGAAGCTGTTGACTACCATGGTTTTGACATGTTAGAAGGTTCACTAACATGGTAAGTTTTGGTAAATGGTCCTAAACAATAGACTGCTGGAATACATGGCAGGGTCTACACTGAAAGCCTTTTGGTTTGGCGCCCTTGGAACAATTATTGGTACCTTAGTTGCTTTCAAGGCGGTGGGTGGCTTTCTCGGCCCAGATGGCTGGAAGGTAGAAATTCTGGAGACTTTGTTTTAACCTCAAGCACTTCTGGAGTGTTGAAAGTTTCAATTTAGTTGATACAATACTTGAAAAGATTTGGTTCTTTGTCCCAGGCTAAAATGTTCTTAAGCGTAATCTTTAAAAAGGAATATCATATGAAACTTATGGTTGGACCTGTAAGATGTGCTTGTGCGTTTTGCATTCATTTGTACATTCGCTGATCAAGCTGTTTTTTTTTCATCATCAGATTGCATCATCACTGTGTGCAAGTTACATAGGTGGAAGTATCAATTACGCCGCTACTGCTCAGGTGCGATCTTGTCTTCAATTTTGGTAGAGTTCAATTTCATGACAAAATCAACGGAATCATTAGTGAAACATGCAAGGTTTGTATAATTGTTTGTTCTTGTTTGTAAAAGTGGTAATAACCGTGTTTGCTTTGTACCTTTGTATGCAGGCATTAGGACTGACAGCACCTAGTCTATTAGCAGCAGGCATGGCAGCCGATAATCTTGCTATGGCTGTGTATTTTGGTGTCATTATGTCTATTCCTACGGAGGGAAAAGAGGCCACAACTGAGACATTCACTGGTGCGTAAGGGGGAAGAAAAAAAAAGAAAAAGAAAAAAAGAAACCCTTTGCTCGAAATTCGAAGTCCTTGTCACAATATCGAGTATCCTTCGCTTGAATGTTAATTTGTTAGGTTTTAGCCATTTCAAGCAATAACATGCCTGAGATAGAAAAGTCTGAGCTCTGTCAGAATCCCAATCAATGATCGTGCAGTGCTAACTGGTCACACATGTTACCTACTGCATATCTGTTGTATTTTTCATCATAATTTTTTTAGTCGGTATCGTGCAGAAGAGATACAGGCCGAACCAGAAGGAAATCCAACTGTGGAATCTTTAGCGCTTTCAATGGCTGCTGCAACAAGTGCATGCATGATTGGAAATTGGATTGCTTCAGCACTGCCTCCCCAGTTTTCAGGTCAATTCTCCATTGCTCAAATCGCTCTTATTGGTCCAAACTAAGTTCTTCATCATAACAATCTTGTCCTTAAATATTAATCATTTTAAAAAAAACAAGAGATAAGTAATATCAGCTGTTAGGGGTCCTGATGAGACTAGTGTCAAATTTGTGAAGTTGTCATGTTCCTTATAACAGAATTAAGATTGTGAATCATCTTGGCATATCATAAGTGCTGACAGACAAGATATTTGGTCTGATTGTTTGAACTTCCAGGTTCAGGATTGGCAATGCTGGCCGTCGTTGCCTCCGCTTTTTCTGCTATAGGAGCACTGGTTACTAGCAAATGGGGAGGAAAGACGAGTAGTACACCCACGTCTATCTTTGCAGGGGCACAGTCATTTGGCGGTGCACTTATGCTACTTTTTTTTTCAGTGGTAATCTTAGTTATTCGACACGGTTCCTACTCAATTTTTCAATGTCTTCTTGCCACTTGTTTTCTGCTCATTCATAGATGGACAGTGAACATCTTAGGGAACAGTATGTGGTAGCCAAACTCGCTACTTTGCTGATAGAATTGGATCCCTGAAAACTCTAAATTTTTGTCTAGGTCGGCGCATCGACACAGATACATGAAGCCTTGTCAGGGGGCTGGCCTCTCTTTGCACTTATTATTATCCTTATCGCGGTAATCAAATCATTCTGCGCCTTTCAGAATTCAGTGATTAGAATTTTAGACTTAAGTATCGTATTTCCGCTTTTTGACCAAGGCGTTTTTCTAGATTGTAGTAATCTGTCTCACAGTTTAACATAGCCCAGGCATTCGTCCTCTACATTCATAGATGCATCTATATGTGCATTTTTTTTGTGGTGTGCAGGTGCATCTGGCAGTTATTTTGAGTTTAGGCAGATGGTCTCAGATCCCCATGCGCACGGTAATTTCTTCATTCTTCTCATCATGCATAGACTTTCTCGTTTAGATTTTATACCCTGGTTCTGCAATGGTCGCTAACTTAAGGAGATTTCTAACGAACTTTTGGTTCCGCAGTTGTTGATTGCATCAAACGCTAACGTCGGAGGCCCTGCAACATCGGCAGCCATGGCTAGTGCGAGGCGGTGGCCAAGTCTTGTGAGTCTTCCCACTTCATCATGTTGCTTTGTTTGAAACAAGAGACCAGCTAAACCATATGTTGGAAATGATACCTGTTCAATCATCTCAAAGATGTCTGGTGCAGAATTACCCAGTTCGCATTACTTATTTTTGTCAACTTCATGATCTTATTCAGGCAATTTCACATTAGTTGAAGGTAAGTTAAATTTTTTAACTTCAGCTTGATATTCGAACGTTCCAAGATTAGACGACGACTTACATAGGTTATTTGCGTTTGTGAAGGTGAGGCCTGCTGTGTTGGTGGGAACACTAGGATACACTGTGGGTACAGCGATTGGGTGCTTAGTAGGCACTCAATTCTTGCAGCCCATGCTTCAGGCAACCTTACTCTTTGCGAGAGCATGAGTTGTGAGGCAAAGGATCCAAGCAGCTCATGTTGTCATTCCCTCCCAGCATTTTCATGGGGTTTGATGCATCTTGACCTCCCATTGCTCATTGGTAAATATTATTCATACTGGCCTGAGGCCAGCAGCATTTATATAGTTATATTCTGCATGAAGGGTATGCCGGATGATTAACTAATTAAAATTGATCTACATCAGTAACCAGTCGTTAGTAACTAGTGAACATTGAAGCGTTTTGTCAAGATATGGATTGAGTTATACAACGCGGAGGACTGAGATTGAACCTTCAACTGTAGTGTATCTGCCGACAAGCCAGTTGTAAGCCTTGGAATTAGTCACCTTCAGGTTGCACTTGCTCTGAAGTGTTTTTCCTAACCCTAGCAATAAAGTACAAGTGGAAGAATTAATTTGCACCACTTGCTAAGTACAAAAAGTAGTTTTTGCAGTTCGTTGTAATTCTTCGTGAGTCTGCATTGGATTATGGGAAAGATACGTGGGATAAGAATAACTTTATCCAGAACAACCAATGCAAACTTTAAGTAATATTTACTTCTTATCACTCATTTTATCTTCAGTTTCTTCATAAAGATATTAAAATAAGCACCAACATTTTTTGCACTATTCCCAACATTCACAACTGTTGAAAGTTACATACTCAACATGAAAATTTTAAGTACATAATTTTACATTAAATTTGAATGCTTGAAAATCAAATATATTAATTCTTTAATTTGAGAAAGAAAGCTATTTCTAAGGTATTCATTTACATGTATATTACTAATAATCATTCATTTACATGTATATTGTTAATAATTAGAGATTGAAAGATGTTTGTAAATGAAAATTACAAAATATGTTATACAAGTAATTAAAAATATAATTGTCAATTTATTTGTAATTGTTTAGACAAAAGACAAATTAAATTTCAAATCAAGGAATTCTAATAGGCAATTATTGTTGTTATATATGATATGTCTCATTTAGATAAGAAATAATTGAGAACACATCTTTCACTATGATCTATTAGAACATTCTGTTTAAAGATTAGTATTTACTAGAGGAAAAATATAGTATGCACATATTAAATATTAATATGAATTTGTCAACAAAGTATGGTAGAAAGATATATTTTATAATTTTTTGATAACACACTATCAAAGTACTTAGTTTACAAACTTACCTTGAAGTATAAAACAAATCTATTATATAAGACAACTTGGATAGAACACAAAGCCTTTTGATTGGTTGTAAAGAAGAGAATGCAAGGAATTTGGAAAACACTATTCAAAGATTATTATGCCAATTTCTCAACCTAGGCAATGTAGAAGCTTGAAGAACATCTATGAGAATATCATGTATTTTTTCTATTTTGTTGACAAGTTCATGAAATATTGTATGAAACAAAAGAAAATAGAAAAAGCAATGAAGATATATATATATATATATATATCTTTATTTTAGTAAAGATGCCAAAAAAAATATTATGTATTATGAAGAATACTTGAGAATGCATTGGGCACTTGGCAATAGAAGGTAAAATAGAATTTACAACAAGAAGGTCCTAACAATTCTAATATAATCTTAAACAAACTCTAATTAAATCTTAATAATCCTAATCCATCTTTAATCAAATTTTAAAGAAATTTTAAAGAAATTACAAAAAAAATATAAAGAAATTATAAATTAAACTTTAAAAATATATTTAATAAATAAATCTTAAAGAAATATTTAATAAATAAATCTTAAAGAAATATCAAAGAGTTTTTTTTAAATATTAAAAATAAAAACTTTAAATGAATCCTAAAAAAACCCTAATAAAATCCTAAACCAATCCTAATGAAATTCTAATGAAATCCTAAATAAATCCTAAAACCTAATCAAATCCTAATAAAATCATAACTAGATCCTAATCAAATCTTCATTAAATTTTAAAGAGACCCTAATCAAATCTTAAACCAATTCTAATCAAATCCTAATATAATTCTAAATCAACTTTAAATAAATCCTAAATCCTAATCAAATCTTAACCAATTTTAATCTAATCTTAATCAAATCTTCATTAAATCCTAAAGAGATTCTAAATTCAAATCAAATCCTAGTTAAATCCTAAAGAGATCCTGAATCTTAATTAAATCCTAATTAAATCCTTAATAGATCCTAAACAAACTTTAAACAAATCCAAAAAAACTCAAAGTAAATTCTAGCCAATTTCTATGATTGCTTTAAAACCTCAATAAATACTAATCAAACCATTGATCTCAACTCAAATTTCATCAATGTTTCTATCCATAAGCAATTAATAACCATGCAAAATTTGAAAAAAAATCAAACTTACTAATAATAAAAATAAAAAATTTCTAAAGCTCTTGGATGTTGACTGCCATCGTTCTCCAACCTAGATGTTGTTCTTTCAATATCAATTTCTCCTTGTTGAAGTGTTTAATTGCTTCAAAAATAGGTTTTTATATATATTTCTAAGTCAAAGTTTCTTTCACTATTTTTTGCTTCAATTAAACTAGCAGATTTTTCAGAATCATAAAAACCCTCACTGATCCTAAATTTCAAAAATCGAAGATCCTAATCCAATAAAACTCTCATATCCTTCAATCTAACCATTTGATTGATATAAAACTTCTCAAACACATTGCAAATGAGCTCAATAAAAAAAAATTACAGAATTCCACTTATAAATGTACTATGACACTCACACAATAATTAAAATTTTAAACCTCTTTTTATTTCTCAAAATCTGAAACCATTGAGTATATCTCTTACTTTGAAAAGCCCTCAAAAATCCAATATAACTCCAAATCATATGAAATCAACTCACAAAAAAAATCTTTCACTTTTTTGCTTCCAAATTCCATTCTTTGATCGACCAAAGAGCCCTAAAATCATTATAGATGCATGGTTTTGTGCCTAAAGGTTTAATTTCGACTTAGATTCACAATTGGTCTTCTCCAGATATTAATTCTTGATATTTTGAGATTTGTTGTGCTAAAACATATTCTTAATTCTATCTTAAAGATATCTATATGATTTATTTTCTTAATCTATTTTTTTTCCTTATTTATGGCCTTACAAAATAAATAGAAGCCTATTTTTTAACAAAGTAGTATTAACATTTATTAATTTTTACTACCTCGTTGTCTATTATTTATATTTCTAAGATAAATTGCTAAAATATTTTCATTTAAGCTCCTCTATAATATAATCTTTCTTTTCTTCTTTCACCTAATGGCTATGTTACAACATGACAATGTCATATTTTTTCAACTTCTAATGAAGTTATTATTATTGTACCTAATAATTGAACAAAAGAAAAAAGAATAAGAGATATATTTGTCTATTAAAGAAAAAGTGCATTGCAATAAATTTATGAGGGACATCTTATATACTTATTCTTCAACCATATTATTCCTTTTTCACACAAAGAAAGTAGATAATATGACCAAATGAGACATAGAGACATGAATGCTAATAAAGATAGGTGTAAAATATATATATATTTTCTTATTAATTAAATAGATTTTTTATTCTTATTTATTGTTTCTACAACATAAAATATAATAAAATAAAAGATCCAGCTAATATTAATAGGATTATTTTTACAAAGTTTTATATTAAAGAGAAATATTTTTTATTATTTGAAAAAATTATCACTTACATGGTTCATGGTCTATATAAATCTTGAAATATATAAGCTCTATATATAATGGATAGAAATTATCAAAACAAATATTTAAAAGAATATTGAAATGTAACATCAATGGATGGTGATGGCTATTTTTAATATCATACAAAATACCATAGAAGAACTTTTAATATTGACAATCATATTATAGGCAATTGAGATGTTGTTTTATACAATTCTACTCTTAATAGAAAATAAAATTATCATATTATTGAAGATCATACTTCAATTTGTGGTAGAAAATATATTCACAAATACATTTATAAAGGGTATAATTTTACAACTATGAAAATTAGAAATGAGAAAGATGAGATAAAGTAATATATTGATATATAGTATATTAGAACTTCAAAAGTAGCATAGCATTTGTTTGGAATTAAAATACATGAGGAAATTCCAAATGCAATTTAATTGATATTGCATCTTTTTGGAATGTATGAAGTAATTTTTAATCCAAATAATGATGCAATTGAAGTCTTATCCTATAGAGAGTGGCAAAAAAGAAAAAACTTTAACAATATTTTTTGAAATGTACAAATCTATAGAGAATGCTTAACAATACAAGTATTGGGATTTTTTACAACATTTTGTGTGGAAGAAGACCTCAAAGAAATTGATAATAAGACAATGCAGATTTGCAATAAGAAGGTTATATTTTTTTGATTCTATTGCAAAAAAAATATTTTATCTTTAGCTTCTTTCAATAATAATATGTAGGCAATGTTTATTCAAAGATTTACAAACTATAAATAAAGTATTGTCACCAAAATTTTAAAATCCATGCTTAAAAATAGGTTTGTTAAAAGATGACAAAGAATAGAATCAATGCTTAGAAGAAGCCTTTACAATAAAAATAGAGAAGCAACTTAGAATATTGTTTGCTATTATTCTTCTTCAATGTTTATTTGTTCATTTAATAGAACTATGAGATAATTTTAAAGAAAGCTTTTTTGATGATGTAGATTATCAATTGGCTTAAGATCATAGAATTTAGAGGCCAATTGTAAGAAAGTTATTAAATTATAGATTATTTCTTCTTAATAAAAATCTTTAAGAATTAAGAAAAATATTTTTTATTTTTTATTAATACTATAGTAGAAAAGGAACAAGAATGAAATTATTGCAATTTAATATTTTTATGTTGCTTCCTTTCAAATTGCAATATATTTTTTAAGTAGTAGACAGACTACACACACTCTATGTTAAAAACATTATTCTATATCAATAAAAATTTATTTTGTAATATTGCAAAGAATACATCATATATACATGTATTAAAAAAGATAATTCTTATAATTTAGGATGAAGTACCAATACAACATTGTTATTGTATTGAAGCAATTAATAGAACTCTCTAAGACATAAATAGAACTAATAAGTTATTTGATAAGATTACTATAATCTTTGGTGGTGTCATTGCTAAGAACTTAAAAAATGCAAATAAATAAGTAAGATGAATGTCAAAGAGAGATAATAATATATATATATATATATATATATATATACATATATACAAAGATGACCAATTATAAACTTGAATTGAAATTATACCTCAGGACACAAAACCACATCTTTATAGCAAATTTAGAATTTTTGTTGATTGAAGAGCAAGAAAAGATAGTAGACTTGCTAAAGTTTGGTTAAGCATTGATTTTGAGTGATTTAGATTAATATTGAATATTCAAAAGCTTTAAAAAATAAGAGGTGTTTTAAATGGTTTGAGTTTTTGAGAACCAAAAGAATATATATATATATATATATATATATATATATATATATGTGTTTGAAAATCTTGAATCTTAATTAAGTCATATTCACAAATCTATAAAATTCTAAACTTTAAATCTTAAACTTGTAAATATACTTGAAAGCTTTACAAAGTAAGAGGTATTTTAAATGGTTTGATTTTTTAAAAATTAAAAAAATATATTTAATAATTTTATAAACTTATAAATTTACTTAAATTTAATTATTTTATAAAATTAAATTCAATCTAATAGTAGGTTCTAAGGTTGTTGAAATCCAATTAACTTAAAATCTTGAAATTTGGATTTTAAGGATCCAAAATGGTTTCTTTGATATGAAGTTATCTTCCAATTGGATTAAAAAATCAATTGTTAGAAAATACTTAATAAATTTTCAACAAATTTATTAAAATTTTTTGCAAATAAATTGCTCTATAAGGAGTTATAATTAGGGAAAGCTCAACATCAAGGTTGAAGAAGAAGGTGGTTGTTGTCTAAGAAATTAAAGAGCTTTTTCCCAATCAATAAGTTGGAATAGTCTTTATATTATTGTATTTATTTTTTATTAATAGATTGTAATATGTACAAAATTTAAAATAAGATTGACAATTTAATCAATAGTTATTGAAGTTTTAAGATTACCCTAGGACTGATTAGAATTGATTTGAATTGTATAAGGATTTTATTAGGATTTTCTAAAGATTTTATTAGAATTTATTTAAGATTTATTATAATTTATTTACAATTATTTTAGAATTATTAGGATTTATTTAGGATTTTAACAAGGTTTTCTTAAAATTTTATTAGGACAATTTTAGGATATATTTAAGAATTCATTAGAATTTCTTCAAAACTTCTTTAAAATTTGGTTTTTTTAAATTATTTTTAGAATTTAAAAAACTTCTTTAGAATTTATTTTTAAGAATTCTTTCTATATTAATTTAGATTTTTTTTTGAATTCTTTGATATTTTTTATAAATTTCCTAATGATATTTTAAAATTTCTTTAAGATTTGATTAAAATTTTATTATAATTGCTAATGTTCAATTAAGGTTTGTTTAGAATTTTAATAGGATTGTTAGGTTCTTTTTTTGTTGCAAATATAATTTATCTTTGACAACTAGATGCCTAGTGCATTCTTAGATTAATTTTTTTATAATACAAAAATATGGCCTATTTAATGGACAAATTTTTAATCTACCAATCATCTACAAATATGTATTAGGTCAAAGGCTTAGGCTACAAGTACATCCTGAGTTGCTACATGCATGCCTCATATTGTTATGTACACATCAAAAAAAACTGAAGACTTTTAATTGGGTTAGTGTTGTTGAGTGAACCTTGCTACTTGACACAACTACAAGAGATTTAGAAGAAGTGATAGCCCTATCTCTAGTAGTCCCACTAACTAATCAATGAGCAAGGCCAAGGGGCAACATTCTTGGAAGGGCTTATAAGGGTAGAGTCTCTAAAAGAAAATTTAGATTCTATACTTTGTCCCAACTATTCTTTTGCTAATTTTCAGAGATCACTACTTGCTTTTCTTTTACACTCATTATTACAACTTTTGCCTTTGGTGCAATCTCATGTGCTTACACCATTAATGTTCCTCATATACCTCCTCTTTTAAGTTCTCAAGGCCTTTCTAAAATCTCAACTTTGGAACCAAGAGCAAAAAATTTCCATAGACTCTTGAAAACTATGATTGTTGTGTTTCACAATTTTGACATAAGTAAATGCATTGATAGGAGGCCAATATGTAATTTTTTAGAATATTTAGAATTGTTCTCATAGTAGAGCTTTTGAGAATTTAATGTTGATTTATTTCTGTATGTGCACATAGTATCTTGATCTAATTATAATTCTAGTTAAAGGAATATAATATATTAGTTAAATTTCTTCAAATTCTAAATTACATTATTTGATTATGATTTTATATTATATCATTGTTAAAAAGAAAGATGTGCAAGAAAGTACTGAACATCAACTTATAAAGAACATTGTATGATTTGTTGATATTTGTCTTGTATGCTTGAAGATTTGCTGGTGCAATTACAAAATGAATTATATTACTATGTTAAAAATTATTTTTTGTCTTTCTATCTTCTCACAAGAAGATTGAGAAGTGCTTCATGTATCTCTTCATTGAAGGAAGGGTGGGCCATTTGTGTTGTTGTTGTTAGTTGTATCGTTGCACTATCCAACTTTGTGCTTCTAATCTCCTTAAAGGTGATTGCTTTATTGAGGATTATAAAGATGGTCACTTTTGGCAATGTACATGTCCTTATTATTATTGTCCACTTTTCTTTATTGTATTAAAAGAAAATAATTAATTACTTAAATATTAATTATTACTTAAATAATCTATATAAGTCCTCTTATTTAAATAATTATTAGTATTACTTATGTCCTTAACAAGTAGAGATTTTTGACAAATTCTTCTTATTGTTATTGAAGGCTCAAGAGAGGAGACTATTGATGCTTCTTTGCAACTACCAACGTATTCAAGTTGACAAAAGATATGTGTTTGGAAGGTGAATTTGATGAAAATAAATTATTTACTAAAAAACTCTTAATGATATGCATTATACATATATATTACTTTCAAGAGTTTTTTTTCATAATTCAATATTTATATTTGATATATTTAAGAATGGCTCCCATTTTCAGATTAGTAATGAATTAACAATTCTTGATCCATTTAAAAATACAATGATCCTTCTAAAACATATGAAACTAGATCTAATATCAAATGGTTTGATTAAAGCTATCTATTTAGGATCGGATGAGAATGAGATACTAACAAGTCAATTTTATATACACAAAATTATAATGTCGATAATCTAAATACGTATGCCATGGAGAGATTTCTTAAAACTTCACATGTTTATCTGTCACTGACATACACATGTAAGCTAGTAATTACATGTATAAATAGGTAGAAGTAAAATAGATAAAAGTAAGTTAATTCTATAATATTTGCTATGGAAGCTTCTTAGAAGCTTTATAGACGCTGCTTTGACTTTATAGGTGTCTTTAATTGACTTTTGGGATTAGAAACGTGATCAACAACTTGGCCATGTGCCACACATGTTGTTAGCTTGAAGACCAAGCTAACTATGTGGCCTACACATAGAAAAACTTACCTTATAAGTCAAGGCATGTATCCTACAAAGTCAATACATATTGGAGGTCCTATAGAATATTGCCACGTAGCTCCTAGTTAGATAGTATATATAGAGACAAGAGTGAAGCCTTCTTCACTCTTGTCAACTCCTTTCTTGCTTCTAGTCTAGTTTCAAAGGCCTCTAATTTTCTTCTCTTTTGGCAATAGCCATTCTAGTTTCTTTTTTAATATACATATTAAGTTATTTCTATTTTGTCATCTTCCTTTGAGAAAAGTCTTTTTTTGTTTATTTCTCTTTATCAAGTTCTTGTCCTTGATATTATCTTAGCGTAGTATATAGAAGATAATGCTAACAATGGCAATTATTAATAATGATAGAAGATAATGCTAACAATGGCAATTGTTTTTGTTTATTTGTCTTATAGCAAATATAGAAGATAATTCTAACAATGGCAATTATTATCCAATCAAGTACTTCAATAGCTTAAGTCCTCCTAGATTGCTACTATTTAACTTAGAGATGAAGGTCGGATGTTCAATTATGTTATTGCAAAACATTCTTTTGGAATAAGGACTTTGTAATGGATCATGCTTGATTACTACACAATAGACTAATTGACATATAAAAGTAAGAGTATTATCTAGAGACTACAAAGAACAATTGACTTTTCATCCAAGGGTTATTTTATGACCATTATTTGTATAGATTCTATTTAAGTTACAATGAAGACAATTTTTGGTAAAGGTGGCATGTGCAATAATCATTAATAAATCGAAAAGACAATCACAAAAGAACATAGGAATAGATCTTAGAACCCTTGTATTTGTACATGGACAATTGTATGTTGTCTTTTCTCGATATATTGCTTGAATATGATCAAGATCTTATATTTTAAAGCTAATAATATAAAAAACACCACCATAAATATATTCTATCTTGAAAAATTTTTAAGCTGGTGATTTAAGTTGTAAATAAAAACTTATTTGCCAATATCTTAAGGAAAAAAAAACATAAATGGTGCTATTGTTATGTGCACAATTTATAGTGTCTTTTTTGCTTGATTGCCATGTCTTGCTTTTAGACATGACATTGACAAATTGGAGTTTTACAAGTTTTTTATGCTCAATGTCACAAGTTTATGGTGGATAGTTTATTAAACAACATATGTTGTGAATATAGATAATGGAGGGACATTTTCTCCATAGTAATATCTAGTGTGAATGTTGGAATAATAATTTTGCCAACTTGTTTATCCTTAATTCATTCACTTTGCTCATGGCATACACAAAAACAATCAAAGATTTGACAATCATGAGTAAATAGAGATGTGCACTCAAATTGGCCTCAAAAATGAAGGCTCTAATATAATTTGGCTAAAATGACACATGAAGATATGCCCATATCAGTTATTCCGGCAGAGAAGAGGTGTTCTACATAATCTATTTAGGAACCACTGACAACCGGGTAGTTATCAGAGGTAACAAAAGCGAACGAATCAAAATGCTCTGCTTTCCTTAGGTTCGACAGCTGCACTACACAAGAAAAAACCGAACAACCCACAAAATTGTGAGATAGTAGAGAAGACCATGCTATATACCCCGAATGATACCAGTCTACCCATGAGCGCCGGACTGATCACCACAAGTAGCTTACAACCACATCAAACTATCAGGTCTACTGTCAGCATTTTATTGCCACTTCTCGGCGACAATGTGGGCGAGGTCCACGACCCTCTGCGAGTATCCCCACTCGTTGTCATACCACGCCACCACCTTCACCATGTCGTCGCCCATCACCATCGTCAGCGACGAGTCCACCGTCGACGACACGTCCGTGCACCTGAAGTCCACCGACACCAATGGCTCGTCGCACACCGCCAACACTCCCTTCAGCTCCTCCGTCGCGCACGCATCCCTGAATGCCTGGTTCACCTCCTCCGCAAACGTCTTCTTCTCCACCTGCACCACCAAGTCCACCACCGACACGTTCGGCGTCGGCACACGCAGCGCGATTCCGTTGATCTTGCCCTTCAAGTTGGGCAGCACCAGCGCCACCGCCTTCGCGGCTCCCGTCGATGTCGGCACGATGTTCAGAGCTGCGGCCCGCGCTCTTCTCAGGTCACGGTGCGATGCATCCAACAGCCTCTGATCACCGGTGTACGAGTGGGTCGTCGTCATGGTGCCCTTGATGATCCCAAACTTCTCGTCCAATACCTTCACGAACGGTGCCAGGCAGTTCGTCGTGCACGATGCGTTGCTGATGATGCTGTCAGAGTGCTTGTAGTCCTTCTCGTTCACTCCCACCACGTAAGTTGGGATGGCTCCCTTGCCGGGCGCGGTGATCAACACCTTCTTGGCTCCGGCCTGGATGTGTTTTCCGGCACCGGCCTCGTCCACAAACACTCCGGTTCCCTCAATCACGAGGTCAATGTCCATGTCCCTGCCAATTATCATCAATGTCAGTTCCATCACGCCACTAACTCATGTGACCCTCCCAGCCATGGACTAGGAACCACAAATGCCTCCCTGCTCGATGGACACTAATAGCTTCTTGCATTTCCTTTCATCATCTGCGGCATGTGCAAAGTCAGAATCAATGACACCCAGAGAATCCACATGGGCACTTACCCCCAGGGCAGGTTGAGTGGGTTCCTGTCGGACACCACCTTGATAACCTTGCCGTCGACGCTGATGGCGTCGTTGCCCTCAACCTTGACGTCGGCGTCGAAGGTTCCGAGCATGGAGTCGTACTTGAGCAAGTGAGAGGCCTGCTTCACACCTCCGGTGTCGTTGATGACGACGACATCGAGGGGCGAATCCTTCCTGCCGTGCCAGCAGCGGACGAAGTTGCGTCCGATACGTCCGAATCCATTGATGGCAACCTTGATCTTGGCCTCGGTGACGGCCCTCTTAGCTCCAGAGCTAGCAGCCTGCATCAGAATGTGGCCACATTAGAATTCCGCGCTTAATGAACGGCATGAAGTAAAAAGCATAAAAGGTGAGCTTGAACCGGTAGACACGAAATACTGGAGCGACGAAACGTACCACGGCAGACTGGGCAGTAACAATAGTAGTTAGGTCGTCATGGCGCTTGCCGAAGGTGACAGAGTTAGTGCTCTTGATTCCGGAGAATTCTGAGAATCCCGAAGCCTACAATTTGTGAAACAACGACGTCAGCTGTCCAGCATTGTTGAGAATCAGATGGTTAACCGGAGCGTATTCCCATTTATCAAGTCTGATGAGCATGTCATTACGGAGGGATCGAAACAACTACAATTCGAGACTGCAATCCTAACAACGGCATCTGGTTCAACCGATCCTGAAGGGCCCGGAGAGGCTGAGCGAAAGAGACCTGCGACAATTGTACAACATTGCTATATTGTAGCCAAATAAGAGCTCCACATTTTTGCTCGCTACCCTTGACAAATAATTACATCATCCATCAATCTCATGTATCAACGACACTTTCAATCCCCCCGAGATTTGCATCAATTTATCCTTGACACCATCAGGCACATTGCCAGACACAACTTTCAAACAGGCGAAGTCGAAGCACCAGGAGCATGGCACAATTCATTAAACTCAGCCCAACACTAGAATCCACGGTTACCTTGACAGCACAAGACGCCGCGGGGAAGGCGGTAGCGGACATGGCTACAAACTACACGCAGCACTGTTGATCCACTCAACCCCCAACGCTTAATTCGCATGTACCTCGACCCCAAAAACCGACCCGTCGACGGAATTCACTTGGACAGTGGAGCTGCCAGAACCATATGAAAGCAGCGTGCAGATAAGAAAACGTATTTATTGGCTGGCAGATCCGCTGCGACTGCAGCCTTGCGCCGTGTGGCGGTGCCTTTTGTGGGGGAACCATCATCGTCATCAACATCATCTGCCGTGCACTCACATCGTAATCTGAAGATCTCGGTGGAGAGCGCTGGAAAGCATTCACCAGGCTCTGAAGCGGAAAAACAATATTGGGGTGGAAGAAGAAGACCTCTACACTTTTGGCAGAGAGAATGAATAGAATGGAATGGATTGGAATGGAGTGGATTGATGAGGAGCCAGTGGATGTGAGTAAGTGAGTGAGTGAGTGGGCTCCCTCCAGTTCCACCACGCCAAGCTTGTGGCACTCTCTCCCTCCACCTCACCATGTCAGCGCCATGTCAGCGCCATGTCAGCACACCGGCATCTGAGGTGCCTTTGAAGTTCACAGACGGTTTTTGAAAACAGTTCTCATCTTAATCACCGAACAATAGAGGGTTTCAAACAAGGCCTTTTTGGGTGATATTTCACTCATGATGCAAGTTTGAAGTATCCCACGATATTTTGAAATATCACTTGATATTACACCAAATCACCCACTTCACAAAGTGGGTGATTTTGAAATCGAAATATCAAAAGAAGGGTGGGTCAAATATCAAAAATTGTGTCCCTTGCCTCAACTCTCTTCCCTCTTTGATTCCACACTAGGTGGTAATTAAGTTTGAATCAAAGGATAATATCTGGGAGTATTAAAATTTGAATGGTGATAATTTGGATTTGATACTTCAAGTTATCCTTGAAATATCAAGTGTTGAATCCCAATTATTTGGTTTTGTGAAAGTACCATTTTTGAAACCCCCTAGTGTACTTACAATGACTTTGGCAATCAATGTATTGGTTTTACTAATTGATGTAATAGTGATATTAATAAAAAGTGTTGAAGTGTTCTATTATCAAGGTTGTGGATTTTATATGTTAATCCATTTTCAACATTTAGTCTTTGAATATAGTTCTTAAAGTGGCCTATCAATAACTTTTGGAACTTTTGGAACTTTTGGACAATGTTTTTGTATTTCATTCCAAATAATAAAAGCAATATTATATAAAAAATTGCATGTAAATGATTTTAAATAAAATAAAAAATATATATATATATATATATATATATATATATATATGTCTTTCACATTTGATAAAAGTTTAAATATGTTGTATGTCCTCTACTAAGTAGTTGTAGAATAATTGAAATTGAATTATCATATTAAACAATCTTTCTAAATCTACAACTCAATTTTTTGCTAGGATTGATTAATTAGAAGAACTTTAATTCAATTGGAATAGTTTTAACACTTTTGCAACACAATATGACTTTATTTAAAATCAACAAATCTTCATGCTTAATTTTTCCAATATTTATTGTTGTTTAGACAATTGGTGTGCACTAATCTTATTATTTCTTTATCACATTTTGAAATCTATATAAATTCCAATAGAACATCTAATTGGAATATAAAAATATTTAGAATGGTGTTTGGATAGAATTACATATAAATTCAAATTGATTTTAAAATAAAGGCTTCTAATTGGAAAAACCTTATAAATAATTTAGATATCTTACCAAAAAAATATGTAAAAGATTTACTAACCAAAAATTTATGCACAAGATTTTTAATTTGAATATAGAAGTGCTAAGATTTAAGCAACATTGATAGCCTAACTTAGATATAATACTATGTACAAACTTTAAAAGAAATAAATAATTAAATAGAAAATAGACATAATATGCACTTGCAACTTTAATATTTGAATCCAACATTCTACAACCTTTGATCCCTAACTTAAAATAAACTCACAATTCTTCAATCATGTCAATGGGTTACAAATAAAAGTTGATTTTTGTTTTCAAATGTTGAAATAAAATTAAGATATCATGAAAATTTGATGGCTCTTGATAATTATCAGTGTCAAAAAATTCGATATTTATACATGAAGTACTTATTGTTACAAACATTTTTTTTCCCCCCTATTGTAGGGAAGTTTAAAGGCATGTACAAGTAACAAACAAAAAAACCCATACTTTATTATTATTTTTTTATTATTATTCTCTCTCTATGCATTGATTTGTTAAAAATAACAGAAGTGGATTAAGTGCAAAACATTCTCAACATTTAACCGTTTTTTTTTTTTTTTTTTTTGTTAATTAATAGAAATATCAAAATATAAAAAAATCATACAAAAAGTAAGGTATTGTATGTTAAGATCCAATTGGGTTACAGAAGATTGTAGAATGATCTTTAAATGAAGTAAACAACAACAAAACTTTTTAATTTTTTAATTTATAAAATATTAAATTTATAATAGATAAACTATAAATAGTATTAATATTTCTAGATGTGTTCTTCATTTATTTATTTTTATTTTATTTTATCTTCAAATGACCTTTCTGAGCAAATTCTATATGAAGTGCTTGCAATTTCATGATCAATTTTGGTAAAGCTTTACTTCACATAAATATATTGTTTTGATCAATAAGAGGGCTTGATTATCCTTGTCTTCAATCATTAATTCTTCATTATTTTTTAAGATTAATTAATTTAGCAGGTTAAACTATCTTTTAGAAGTGGAGATATGTATAAATATTTATAAAATATTATTTAATGGTATTCTATTTCTTCTCCTCTCTCAATCAAGTTCTCAAATCCTTGTAAATTAATAAACCTTAGAGACTATTTTTGTTCTTTGGAAGCTTATCCATTCAAGCTTGAATGTCATTTCAAAAGAGCACATCATCGCATTATATCTCCTCACGTTGTTCACAATTAAGCACGCTAGTGATGAATTTCCTTTCTCTGATCAAATAAATGGTTGTTCAAACTGGAGATAAATGTGACAATATCATGGCTAATAAAGTTTGAACAATAAAGTTTGAACAATGGTATTTCGGATTTGATATTTCGAGTGATCCTAAAAATATCAAATGTTGAAACCCCCTAATGTAGCACTTCAACAAGTTCAATGTGTACTTGATGTAGCATGCAGCTCTAACTATATGTTTCATATCTTCTCTCATTTAATACAGGATGAGGGATATTGTTGCTGTTTTAACATTGATATTCTAATTGACTGTTTCTGATCTCCCACTTCAAGACTCAAATCTTATTAATGATACACTTCCTAATTCAAGAAGTTCCAAGAAGTTGAGGTTTGGCTACAGTATTATTTTTCTAGTGATAAAAGTGTCAGCAGTAGAAACTTCATCATTCTCAAATGTGATAAAATGTACAATCTAGGGCGAACCTCAGCAAAAACAACCTCTTGCTCGTGACTCACCAACACAATAATCTTTCGATAAAAACTTCCGCTGATACTAATGTTTGTGGTACCTTCGGGTATGAATCGAATCAAACCGAAAAATCACAGTTGAAGAAACAAACTAATTAACTTCAGAAACACTTGTACCCACAACTGTCCATTGTCTTGTTACATAGTGCGATTGAGAATACACGATGAACAGCCATAATGGAACTCAACTGAAACCTGGAGTTGTACACACGGGCTTGATGCAGCACTAACACTTATAACTTGCAGTGAGACACATTTACAGGAAAATAAGTGGTGAGCCTAAAACAGGAGTGAACGTATCCAATTCAAGCCCTTGAGGGCTGACTTGATGGGTCTGGGGACGTTCATAGAATCCAACCTACTTTGGCCTGGCTTGATAACCAGTACCTGTGCCACACAATAAGAGCAACAGAGTGTTTATTAGTATCGTAATCAAATGCGTAATACTAGCTTATAGTTGAAGATTAATATTAGCTCCAGGTTCTAGAAAGATCCATCACCTGAACTTTACGACGACCCCATTGAAGTGCAGCCTTATGCGAGCTGTGGTACAGATCGATTCGATACGGCCCCTTAATTGCGCCCCCTCGATCCTCAACCTACATTTCCAAGCCTATTCTCCAGCTCAATACTTTCAGCAAAAAGGAGTACAATTTGAGGGGCCGTGTGAAACAAGGTAAGGTCGAGGGTTGAATGCATAGAGAAAAATCAAGATGAAACACATGAAAAAGACGTAATAACTGGAGACTTGCCTCGCCCCATCCATAGCCAGGAATAAACATACGGGTGCCAAACGGGTAATAGTCAGTGTCAGCGGCGATCGTGCCATGGCGTGGCAAGAGCCTCCACGGGAAAAATAGCAGACGAGCTGGAAGATTGCGGTAGTTCATCAGACTCAGCTGGGAGAAGATAGGTGGCCGGGCCTGTTGTGAACGGTAACTTAGACAGTGAAAGAAAATTACAAGAGACAAAATGCCTTCCAAAATTAGTGAGATCTGCCCCTAAATCTCTTGAAAAAATAAAAATAACTGAAAATGGTCATCATACTCACGTCCTTCGCTGTGATGATCGATTAAATGATTATAGCTGTGAAAGAGAATTGAGTCAGACCTGAGCTGGATAGCTGCCACTTGACGTGAGTCCATAATAGGGTTGTCCACTCTGTGTGGTTGCAGTCCAAAACCTGATCATAGGAGACCACCGTTCACATCCCAAGCAGGAAAAGCGATACAATTCACAAGTGTGCGATGGATGGACTCTACGTTGATAATTTTCATCCTATGGAGCTTCTGGGGAGCCTATTCGGAATTAGCGCTGCATTTCAAATGCATTTGTTTCTCACAGGGATGAATTCATTCCGCAAAGCTGCCAAGCATCGATCTTATTGATCAGCTACGAACCAAGATTACACCTCAACTATTGAGTCATTCCAGGTTCTGTGTAATGTTAGTTTCACGAATAGAAAATTCTCCAATTGCATGCACAAGACGCAAAATAAATGGATTCACAACTGCAATTGAAAAGCATCTAGATCCGGCATCCGATTTGCACAAATGGTGATTTTTATGAGAATTGTCTGGGAGACAGTATAGAAAGTGCAGCACACATACTTGCAGAAGAAAGGCAGTCTTTGAGGCTCCCTATTACCCTTCTTGCGAGCACGAAGCCGTACTGGCATCAATGAAAGAGAGAAGCCAAGATAAAATGGGAATGCAACCGGTAGCCTTAGACCCCATTCCCAATTGCAGCAATAACCACATCTGCAGCAACACAATACACTTGAGAATTCTCCTCGTAATGTGGGTGCATCAGAGAAGGTTGTTTCGCAATCCCAGATGTCTGCTAAACCCTAGTAGGAGTATTATTTCTGATTTGACGATCACAAGTTAAGGATATACTCGCTAGTCAATTCAATTAAAGAGAAAGGCACACCGGGAAACGATCTACGTCAAAAAAAAAGCGCGCAGAACTGGAAAAATAACAAATTCAGGTAAATTGTATTTCTCCCTCACATCACAAGTAAAGAACAACGAGGCGCGGAATGGGTAAAAACCTGCAGTATGCTGTGCACTCGATTTCAACATTGTGAGGAGGCATGGCCCCGGTACCGTTAGGGTTACAAGAGGTTCTCTACTCTCATCATCAACACTCCAGAGCTAATTACGATGGGGTGCAGATACACACTGCCCCAACTTCCACCCTACAAACGCCAGAATTGAGCTCCAGAATTACACCAAAACACATACACACATCTTTGCGTCAATTCCGCAACTTTTTTCAGTGTACTTAGAAATACCAAACCTCCCCGTCACTCAAATCACTCAATTATTTTAATTGGACACAAAAATTTCCCACAGATCCGTCAAGCAAAAGCCCTGCAGCACCTGCAAGCTCCTACGTCGAAAATCTCACAAGTCTATCTCAGCAAATAACATTGCTAACAACAGACGATCGTTTCCCCTGAGAAAATCGCTAAAACCCACCAATTGCGTCGCCTCAAATTTCTAATTACAACATCTACAGGCACCCAGATTGATGCATTGTGCACAGTTTGCGAGATCTGTGAGCCTCACGCCATTTGTGGGTGCCTCCTCCGAGGAGGCCACATTGGTCCCGCGTCTCCCTTCTCTAGGCGGATTATTCTGTTCAATCCTTGGATGCGGATGGATGATCGACATCCGATTCTAGAGTTCATACATCCAATTATGTTCATTCGTTGGGGCTTTGTTGTGTCGTTTTGTGCTTTGTGCAACTAAAATAACTTTGGGACTATGAGGTGTTGGTAGAGGAAAAATTAGACAACGGAACCAAGTTCATATTATTACATGGTTTTTGTGAAGTTTTTTTTTCTTTTCTTTTCTTTTCTTTTCTTCAGCCAATTTTCTTACACAATAATGCATGAATTGTCATAAATTCATATAAAGGGCACTTTTAGGATTGAACTTGGTAGCATTTAATGGTGTTTGAGACTAATGTCATATTGAATGTGACCTTGGACCACCACCATATATAAAGAAAATTAGTTTCTTCTGCTACACTATGTAGTTGACTTTTACACAACTAGAATTATTATAATGTAATTTATGGTTTTAAATGCTTGATTTTCTAGTTAGAAGGTCTACATTGTGTGCTGAAAGTCTAATTTTTGGTCATGCCACTTTTTGGAAAATATATTCCATCATATTATTTAATACTAACTATATTATATTGTAAATATTGGTATCTTGATGAGCATCTCTATTATACAAGTCTTCATGTTCAAACTTGTCGCTACTTAGTAACAATGTTGGTAAGGTGGTTGATATGTTGATTGTATTTTGATATAAAGATTGTAATGGTATTATTTTTTTATTTGGACTTTTTGCTTCTTGATTAGATAAAAAAATATGTATAGCAATAAGAGTTTTTTTTTACCAATGGTTGTTGGCTTATAATACCAAAGTAATACAACAATAATCACATTGTTATTATGAAGTTGCTTAAAAATATTAAACATTGTATTCTAATTTGTGTTCTAGAATATCTACCTTAAAATAGATCCAAATCTAATTTCCATGTCTTGAAGGTTTATTGTCTATATTTTTGGTAAAAATAAATATTGTCATCAATCTTTAACTTGTATATAAATTTGATAATATTTATTTTAATACTTATAAAATATTCAATTAAAAAAAGTTATTTAAAATAAATTGGTAGTGAAATGAATACAAGATCTTTTACTAAATATATATATATATATATATATATATATATATATATAATAAAAAATAACATATAAAATATTTGTAAATTTAGTGATTTAAAATAAATTGCTCATAACTTCAAGATGGTATAAGAATCTATGACTTAATTTTGACATTTTAATTCTTATAAGGGTTTTTACAATGAATTAACAAAAGCTTTGTAACTTCAATAGAAAAGTAAATTTGCATGTTTATAATATATAAGAAAAAAATATTATTAAATTTAATTTTGTATAAAAATTATATTATATGATTTAAATATATAAATTAAAGTAACTCAAAAAAAGCATGGTGGACCTACAATACATATGTTTTAGGATTAAATTATGATTTTGGTAGATAGATCTAAAATACATACTCTTTAGATTTTAATATTCAAAGATTTAATTTGGTAATATATTTTTTTTCTTTTGATGTATTTTTTTTTGGATTGATAATTTTTTTAAAAAAAAATAATAATATACTTTGCAATTCTTTATTTTGAATAAAATTACACTAACTCTCAAAACTAAATCAATCAACCAAACAACAAATTTAAAGAAGCTATATCTAAAAGAATATTGATTTTTCAAATCTAAAATTGCATGACATGTGCAACTAAGCTGACTATTATTATTCTAAAATTTAGATTAAGAACTATAGCAAAAAGAAAAATATATATATATTTTGAATGAATTTAGGTCTATTAACTCAGTTTTTTAACCTATATTTATTTGCAAATCAATAATTTGTCTACCCTCCTTTAGAAGCTAAAGTAACTTTTTTTAATTGAAGATGCTATAATAGAACTTTTAATATTACTTAGAGGTGATGGAATTAAAAGAAGTTTGCACATGTTCTCACAACTGAAGCATTCTTTTGGCTAATGTTGGATATTCATTTAATTTCTATTTCACAAATACCTATATATGCTTAAAAAGATTCAAGTCATGTGATTGCAAATGCCAAGAATATGCATAATTTTCTTATATTAATAATTACTACTTGATTGATTTTGCAATATGTTTACAATCATTACTATGCTAAAATATTACATAAAAAATAAAAAAATATCATTCAATTGTCTTCACAAGCTCAACTTGAAGAATGCTAAGATACAAATCTTGTTTCATCTTCTCTTCTATCTTTTACATATATTTAATGTTTTGGAAGTCATATAATTCTATACAAAAATTGCACTACTTCTATGTTTAATTTTTTGATTTAAATGACAAGCTTGTAATAAAGATTCTCTATTCTTCATCCACCACCAAATATAACTATAAGACTAAAATCAATTGATCTTAGTCTCATCACTAAAAATCACCTTATGTGAATCATTGACAATTTAATCTTGATGAAGTTGAGCAAATTCCAACCTATAATGTATATTCTTGACTTTGAGCAATATCTTCTTCTTTTTCTTCTTTAATGATCTAAGCCCTAATTCATGAAATACATACCTCACTATGTTGGCACTCACCACCGCATTCAAGTGCTCACTCAAAGCATTCTTCATGTCTTCAGTATTATCTAATCCATCAATTGCAATGGCTCTAATACATGCTCGTCTTTGAATAAGAATAATACTTTTTAAGTGCCTTCTTCTTAAAGACATTATATGATTAATATAATCTCTGTAAAATTTAGAATATGTAGATTTAGAGATATCCAACAATTTTAATACTTCATGTATCTTACTCTTGTGCTACAAAAGGGCTATAGCACTCAACCTCATATCCTTTGATAATGCTCTCATGGATAAAGAAAAATTTTAAAATTATAAAAAAAAAAAAAAAAAAATGACTTAAAAGACCACACTACTAAATAAAAGTGAAAAAAAAGAGCCTAAATGGTAGAGTGAACTTATTCATGATATTTAAGGTAATTGATGAAAATAGTTCAAAAATTAAATCAATAGACCTAAATTCATTCAAAATATAATTTTTTTCTTTTTTCTTTAGTTTTCAAACTAAAATTTAGAAATATTGTAGTTAGTTTAATTGTACATTATATCCAATTTGTGGTTTCGAAAAAATATCAATATTCTTTTAAATATGGCTTCTAATTTTTGTGTTATTGATTGAATCAATTTTGTAAGTCAGTGTACTTTCAATATATACTAATTCTTAAAATATAATGATAGAAGATTTTTAATATATTCTAATTATAAATCTTTTTATTGCAAATAATTCATTAAACATGTACTTATTAGATTCAATAGCCTCAATTTGTTTTACAGACAAAGACTTTGTTGAAAAAAATAAGAAATATCCATTTTTAAGAAAATTAGGTCCTTGTATCAAAAAATCATAGATAGTTGTTTGCTGTCTTTTGAAGATGAAATCCATGAAAAAATTCCTTTAATTCTAGAAAATAATAGTCATAATAGCTTAATAATATTTAATAATTTTTAGATCTTCTTTCAATTCAATTATTTTAGGTTTATTGTAGTTAGAGCAAAATAATCCTTAAATAATCTAAATTTTTTGTAATCCCAATTTTTTCCATAGCATAATCTATATTTGAATTATTCAATAAAAAATTCATAAATCTTTTGCATTGAAATCCTTTTCAATCAATTAAATCAAACAAGCATAAGAATAATGCTTTAGAAGATCTAAATCCTGATTAATATTTAAGAAGAAACTCAACCATAATTTAGACCAATCTATAACTTAACACAAAATAAATTGGATATATTCAATAAATATATAAATGAAAATCTTGTCAAAAACTTCATAAGCTATTTAAATTCTCTAATAGAAGCTCCTATCTTATTTGTGAAGAAAAAAGATAGATCATTATAGATGTATGTGGATTATTAAAAATTTAGTAAGATCACTATTAAAAATAGGTTTATTCTAAAATTAATGGTCTTATGATGGATCTTTAAAAAGTTTAAATTATCATAAATTAGAAGATTTTAAGGATAATAAGAGATATCTATTTTATTTATTTTTTATTTTTTCAATTATTATTGGATCGTTATGAGGATTTGTTTTCAAGTTGCAACTCTACTTACACATTTGACTTGTAAAGAAAAACCTAAGTAGAATAAAAAACCTAAAGTATCATCTTAAACTTTGAAGATAGCTTTTATAATAACTTCAATTTTATATTAAATTGATTATTTTAAGACATTGATTTGTAGTAATATATGTACATACTTTGCTTTAGATGCAATATTATCACAAATAAGGACAAATAACAAACTTTATCTAGTAGCTTTTCATTCAAAAAATATTTCAAAAATCAAGATTAATAATAATATCTACAACAACAAACTTCTTATAATTGTAGACTCCTTTCAAGAATGGTGCTATTATCTACAAGGCACTTTGAGTCCAATGATTCTTGTGTATATCACAAGAATCTTAAGAGTTTATATCAACATGTTTTTTGAATCATTTTCAAGCTTGTTGTTATATGGCATGATTTTTATTTAGGAATACATTGAGTACCTAACTATAGAGAGTTCAGCTTTAACTCATTGGATAAGTTCTAATAAGTAATGTATTATTATTATAAAGGCAAAATAAATATAATAATATCAAAAGATATTTTATTGATAAAATCTTTTTATATTTAAGAAGCTTTATACATAACGCTTTCTAAAATATCTAGAAATGCCTTAATATCCCTTTCTATATCAAGTCATAACTAAATCATTTGCTAGTAAGCTTGATTTCTAATAAGCTCAAAGAAAAATCATAATTTCTTTAAAAAAATATTTCTTTATATCATAATTTTTTCATAGCTCTACATCTCCATTTTTAACATGTATACAAAGTCTTGGCTTCCAAAAATTCCTTTGCTTTGTATAAAAAGTCTAAATTGTAGCAAAATCTTTTCAAAATATTTTTTTTCTTGTAAAGGATTTTT